ACGCCCCTGCCCCTTTACATGTGGAGAAGCGGCGGTTGTAGTACATACACGCTAAAGTATGTGTAAGAAAGTTGCTAAAGATAACTAACGTCAATTTTTTTTCTTTGCGCTAAAAATATACGTAGTGCTCGTATGCGAGAAGATAGTAATAGTAGACGCAAGACTGCTTCTCCAGCTATCTCCATATCCTCGCTAGCTCCTGCACAGCCGCACGTCGTTCTCGCCTCATCGATACCCAGATGCGATAGCATGGAGCCCGAGGCTCAGATGACGAATGTCACGCCACTCCTTACTGTGCTGTCACCGCAGCCACAATCACCACCAGCTCAGCGCCAAGCGCAGCGTGTTGCGAAAGAGAGTAGCGAGAAAGTGGCAGAGAAAGAAGACAAGAGCAAGTTGCACCTCATGAAGCGCATTTGGAACAGTCTTGTTCGAAAGTAAGGGATCCTAGCAAAAGGCTATTTCCTGTCGCCTTCTGCAGTTCAAGGATCTAGACCTGCCGCTTTCATCGAGATAAGAGAGTGATACAAAACACCTGCGGTCTAGACTCCCACCATTATCATCACGAAGCAGCCAGACTCATGAACAGACAAAAAAAGGAAAATGCGATTTGGAATCTTTTCATCGTGGACCTCGTTATCTTTTGCACTGAGGGCCGAATCAGATAATACGACACGGGCCTGGCCAATGACCCTTTTTATTTCTCTCGTTCTCGGATTTCTCTCGTTCCGCTGGCGAAGGGGAAAAAACCTCCATCTGGCTCGTGTCTTCTTGCGCGTGCAGACTGGGTGTTGGTTTTCTTTGCGTTGGGACCCTCGGTTGCGGTGAGCAAAGGGAGGGTCGCGTGTGTCGTGAATCACCAAGATTATTTTATCATTTCATCCAGGCTGCCATCGGCAAGCAGTACTTTTGGTTGGTGTGTCCGTGTGCTATGCGTACGTGCGTGTGTGTGCGTGTGCATGTACGTGTGTCGAGTCTCCACAGAGATGTGTGTTAAGTCATTTTTTTGGCCCTTTCACACACAGACTCCTACATTGGAAGAAATTCCCGTTGCGCATTCCAGACTTTCCAAAGTATCAAGGGGTTGAGCCTATTTTTTTTTGTTTTCATGGCGTCTAGATGCTCAGCGGGCAATTGGTGAGAGGCTTTCTTCTTCTCGCCTCAGCGTCCATCGCCTCCGCGTCTGTTCGCTAAAGGGCGCACGCACGCACTGGCTCAGTGTGTCCTTACCATGTTCATCCTCATATGGCTGTTGTTTGTGACTGGTAGGTACGAATGAGGATTTTTTAAGCGAAGTTTTTTTTGGTCAAAAATATTTTCGGTTACGACAAGGCGGGGGGGTAAAGGGAGGGGGAGGCGGTGACATGGTGAGAGAAACATGGTGTGAACACCAGAAGATCAGGGTGGTCGAGTGAATACGAGGCTGTGATTCGAGACTCTTCCCGCGGATAATGAATCCGGATGATTCACATTGATGCTGGCGCCAAGATTGACGGCGACTTCCGGGGGCTTGTGGTGTGACCTTTGCTCCTTTCCGGATAATTATCGGGTATCGTGAGCGTATCACACCACACGCGCGCATGCAAGACCAGCAACAGCAACATGATCATGCTGTATTACCACTTGGAATTGAAAACTTGGTGTTTTATGTCATATGATATCAGCGATGGTGTTGATATAAAATCAAACACCCCGTCTCTCTCACCAAGGCCTATACCATCTCAACCCTCAGAGGAACATATCCGACCAAGTTATCACCTACACGTTGCCACCAGAAAACAAGTTTTTCACTACAGTTTCCGATAGCGAATTCGACTGCTCACCATCGCGATTAAAATGCATTACCGTTGGCATATACCACACCCCCATTTGCACTTTCGACGCCATCTAGGCCAATGGCTCGCAGATGTGGCTGAAGTGTATAGTCGGGCTGCATAAAAAGGCCAAGCTTTTCCCCCAAGCTTTCCGGCAATAGCATGGTCAGTAGTACAATGGGTACTGCCGAAGCCGTGTACGAGGTACTGTGTACTGACGCCTCACAACAGAAGAGAGTAATAGGAAAGTGAAACGAGACTGGGCATTTGTGGGGCCCGGGTATGGGGGAGTTCGTTGATGTGTTGTTGGGGAAAGCTATTTGGAACGGCCTAGACTTTGGCGGTGTTTTTTGATACCCAATGCATGTAGCTTCACGAATTTTATTGGTTGTATTCTGCCCTTCTCCGGTACAATTCGCTAGTGGCGCGTGCAAGGAAGTATGATGGAATGCGCGACATGATTGCAAGGCTTTCAAGATCCAGGAACCGCTTTGCTAGTTGGTGATGACGAGCTTGACCTCCAAACAAGCGGTGGGTCGTGAAGAAAAGAAAAGTACTTGGTGACCCTGCCTTGCCTTTTTTCTTTTTCGTCTTTTCTCATTGGTCTTTCTAGCCTCAAGGCCGGTGTGAAGTTTTGAGACACCGGCTTGCACGAGACGATGGGAACGAGGCGTGGCCACGGCCTTGTTGCGGTGACACTGCTGGTGCCTGGTTGTGCTTTTTTGTATGGTGGGCTGGTGTTGATGTGCTCAGCGCCACCGCCCTGATTGCTCGAGATACAGACATGCGTAGAACACAGGTAGAGGTGTATGTGCCACACGGTTCCCCTTTACTCCACTTGCCCCGAATGGGCAGGGTTTTGCTGCTCTTGGATGTTACGACGTCATACTGAGATATGGGTATCGCGGGTGATCTGATAGCAACCACTGCTGTGGGTAAGATGTCGGGCAGCGATTCTATTTACGAATGTACTGGGGGTGGAATCCCACAGATCTCATTCGGCGATCTGGGATTTCAGGGCTGCGCCGCGGGACTGGTTGATCCGGGCCAGGGTTGCGAGTCATACGGGATGCAATTTCTGATCTGAATGGGGAGTTGACAAGAGATAGCGGGGGTTCTCATCGAGTCCGAGGCCGGCAAGAGCCCGAACCCGAATGCTCCTTTATCCATTAGGAATAGACTGTGTGTGGGGGAGGATATTTTTGTGGGGCCTGTGGCCGCTGCAAGATATTTGGAAACGATGCCTGAAGGTCGGCGACGCCTTTATTAGGTTGCGGGCCGCACAATATTGCCTAGCAGACAACACCAAGAATTGCAGGTGTATGACACCGCTCGGCCTCATTGTGTGGGTTACGTGGCAATGACGATGACGGGAGCGGGGCTGGCATTGCAGTACACAAGGCATTGTGGAGTTGTTCGAGGACAGACACGTGCGTCCCGTAGTACTAAAACGGATTCAGAGTTGGCGGTTGGTTGATGTCTTGTTCAAGGTGAAACGGCGCTGGGGGTTTGTTTGTCTCACGGCTATTGCTGTATGATTGTCTACTGGCTTGATGCCGAGATTACACAAAATGCAAGCAAAGTGTACGTGGTGCGTAGTAAAGAGGCGCATTGCGTAATGTGGTATCCAGCCCCTGGGGTTACAAGATGATTGGGACCAAGGCAAAACGTGTTCCTGGGGTTACAGACGTGGACAATCAACCCAGCGAATGCAATAACATTTGGTGTATGCAAGGTGATGAGCGCCAGGCCCGAAGCAGCGGCGCTAGTGCAGGGGTGCTTCTTGGGGCAAGCTGAGCGCAGTCGCTGCTCTCTTCAACAAGAGCAGCGTTGCAGTTGCAGTGGTTGCATTGTGCCTGGGGGTTGGGGCATTGTGCTGGTTCGGATGCAGCGTTGTGCCGCTTGCTTGACTAAGGGGACGATGAAGCGAACTGGTTCGGGATCGAGGTGGTGGTGGTGATGGCAATCATCATGTGTCTGTGTGTGTTTACTCATCACCAGGCACGCGGTGCCAGTGTGGATTGGTGGAGATGGTGTGCATGGGCCCCAGTCAAGCATTCGTGTACCTGCATGGTAGCCTGATCTGGCATCGCAGCAGATGCTCCCTTTGATTTGGACATGATCCTGTGATCACGATGCAAGCAAGGTAGCGAATCCATCGTTCGGCGCATGGGGCGCGTTGCGCTAAGCAGTTCATTGCTTTTTGCGACAGCTGTCAAATTAGCATCCGGTCTCGTTTGGCAACCTTGGATAGTAGATGATTAGCCTGGGGCAGACCGAGGGGGCAGATCTCTGCTAGGCGCGCTGCACAGCGTGGACAAGCAGGCGGTGAGGTTCACTATCCCACGCTGCACTGCGTCTACGCATGCCGACGATGCATGGCCTTTTGTTTTGTCAGAATCACGGCATGGATGGATGGATGGATGGATGGATGTTTGGATGCGAGTATACATACACACCACCACACACCGTCTCGAGGCACTCGGACAGGTGTAAACACGCGGTGAGGCCCATGTTCTAGGCTCTGGGGCCTGGGGCCTGAGGTGAGGGGCAGGGTTGTGTGTTTTCTTGCATGCCTGTAGCCTGCTCTCTCTCACGACGACGACGACGACGACGACAAGAGATGAAGCGGCTGAGGCGTTTGAGAGCAAGTTCCAAAACGCGGCTGATCGGCGTATGCGAATAACTTCTGGACAGGAGGGGTCAGGACATGGGTACGCGAGAGCGAGAGCGAGTGATAGGCTGGGCTTGAGGGTGGCCGCTCTGGCCATGTCGAGTGTGGAGCTGAGGCGTGCAGGGCAGCCAGCCCCTTGGTTCAGCACACCAGGATCTGCCGTGGAGTCCTTGCGTTTACGGCAGCTAAAAGCAACGAGTGCTGATCTGCCCAAAGCACGAGTGATGACGGAAACGGTAGAGCCGCAGCCATGTACCACGTTTTGGGGGCGCTGTCACCATCCTTGTCCCTGGACTCCATCGGCGAGTGCGGCGCTATGGCGCTCGGTCTGGTGGGTACTATCCTGAGAGCTGGGTAACATGTCAAGTCCGTTGCTGGTATATAACACTTGGTCGCCCTAGCCTTCAACACTACTCACACCACGACTACACAGACAACATCCACTACTACCACAGCCACAGCCATTACAGCGACCACAAGACTACTACCACGACCACTACCATCACTACCATCACTACCATCACTACCATCACTACCATCACTACCATCACCACCACCAGACTACTACTACTACTACCACTGCCACTGCTACTTCCTCTTGACCAACACTCTCTCAATATACCCACAATCACCAACTCAGCAAACATGTACCAAAACCTTGGACACACACCCAACTGGGAAATTTGCTTCCAGCAAGCCCAGCTCACAGAGGAGAACCTGCGGTCACATGGCTCCACATATGCCTCAACACATAGCCCAACACATGTCAAGGTAAGCACTCGGACCCTCAACATGGCACTCGAAGAATCAAAATCTAACTCCTTCTCCAGGCGGACAGTGCTTGCTACATGCTAGAGCCTCAACAGTACTACCGATACGATTTGGATCTCGAGGAGTCTGATGATGAAGATGCGAGCTCGCAAACAAAGCGAATGGCTCTTCGAAAAGCAGCATCCATGGAGGTGCTCAAGGCGTATGGTGGATGCTTTGCCTCTGGCTTCCTCGCACTTCAAGAACCTCTGCCCAGCCGACCACAGTCGAAGCTGCGACGATATGAGAGCGCAGATGCATTTGAGATCCGACGAACGGCATCCATTGCGACATCACTCGAGAGCGGGTCAGTCAGCTGCACAAGCAGCAGCAATGACAACCCGCGACCCGACTCTGCTACTCTGAGCCCTGCGCAGCTGCAAGAGGCGGCGAGAGCAAGCAAGTGGAGTTGGAGAAGCATGAGGAAGAGCCGAAAGAACGCGGCCAAGAAGCTAGACGTTTGAGTGCTACGATTTAGCAGGCGCTCGCCTACTTTTTCATTAATGTTTGCTTCTTTGATCGTTTTATTAGCGAAGGTGTTGGGGCGTTGGGGATTGCGCATAGTGCAGGACTGCCACCTGCCGTTTCATTTGTTTGGGGGAAAAAAGTCATGGAGAAATTGTCGTCTAGTACTTGGATCAAGTCACGACCAGTCAACAGTATACGTAGGGTGTAATAACCTCCGGACGCGGCTCAGTGAGCCTGCGCGGATCATCAATCAAACTTGTGCAAGAGCAAAACAACCAGTCCAGACCAAACCAAACAAACATGACCGTGATCCCGACACAGACGGTTGCAATGCAACTGCAGTGGTACAAGCGGAGACGCTTGGAGAGCCGGCGTTGGGGGTTGAGAGGCTGTAGGGCGTGATCCTGGACGTGGGATGCATGCGGGGAGAGTACCGGTGACCGGGCAACTCGCAGCCGAGCCAGTCACAGCATGCAGCGCTGTCGGGGAAAAGAGGCTTGCATCAAGGGTCGGGATAAAAAACCAAAGGTAAAATGTGCAATGGCCGAGGAGAGCCATTGAAGCAGCAGGATGCGAGACACGGAGACGAGACACGGGCAGCGGAGAGGAGAAGAACTGAGCATGGGCATGACGTAACAGTGGGGTTGCTGGCCATGGTGTGGGCCATGGAAGCTTTAGCGGGCAGGAGCGACGGGGAGGGGAGGGGAGGGGAGGGGAGGGACAGCGAGGGAAGCGACGATCATGAAGAGCGAGACGACGACGATAAGCAGCGACGCAGAAAGGGCGCCAGGCACAGGAAGATGGCGCGGAACGGAACGACGAGTACTCGGCGTGTGCCCAGCTACTACTATTCGCTCCGCCCACCGCCGCCGCCTCCCCCCACGGGCGTGCCTGGATGAGAGAGCACATACACACACATTCAGCAGCCCATGCCACGCGTGGGTTCTGGCACAATGCAGCGCCCTCACCGCCTGGCCCTGTTGGTCCCTATCGTGCTATCGTGCTGAGCAAAGACAGACCCACCATTGACGCCTGCCGTGATGTCCTCTGTAGCCATCGGCGCACCTGCCGGCTGTCGTCAGTCAAAACTGCCTCGCTCGCCGCCCCAGGTCACTCTGCCTTTCTCTCCCTCCTCCCCCGCCCCTACCAGACCTGCATCCCTCCCCTTGACGGCTTTCTGTCCGCTGACACAAGGTCCGTCGCCCCTATGCCCTCCACCGGCCCTCGTCCAAGACGTCCCGCCCCGCCCCCACCCCAGTCCGGCCGCATTGAGCGTCTCAGCTAACTTTTGGCCCAGTACATACGCCATAGCTCTCCCACGCTCTCGCTCTCACAGCTCCAGCAACATCCATCATCACCACTGCCACCACCCATCCTCAACCCCAACCCTCACACTCCGCCCCTCCCGCTCGATCGGTGGCTCCATCCTCCCTCCCCCATAGCATGAGCTCGCAACCCTTGAAGCCTCGCCGAACCTCGTCTGTGGTTGACCCGTACGCTGCGCCGCACATCTACTATGGCGAGAGTCACTCGCAAAAACATCCCAGGGCAAGAACCTACTCGGCTGTGAGCATTGCCTGCCCCCTCTCGCCCCATTGCCTACATTGCTCACACCAAGCAGAACGTAGACCAATCCACCCGCAATGCCCCGTTGAGCGAGGGTATTCCTGCTGGCCGCCGCACCAGTCACGGTATGTACCATGGCGGCACATATCTCTGGACAAGCGCTGACAATGCCTCTAGATGAGGCTTCACTGCAGCCGCGCCGCTTCAAGATCAACGTCGACGAGACCCTCGCCCAGCTTCTCGCCCGTGAGGATTCTGACCAAAACTACCAAATCACCATTGAAGACAAGGGCCCCAAGGTACGCTACAAGCCCCTTTCTTCTTATCTATACATATACACGCAGTATGGCTGACAACCCACGTAGACGCTATCTCTCGGTACTCTGGGCTCCAATGCTTTCAAAAAGCACGATGTCCGCGGCACCTACATGCTCTCCAACTTGCTCCAGGAGCTCACCCTTGCCAAGGACTACGGCCGCAAGACCATTGTCCTCGACGAATCGCGCCTCAATGAAAACCCTGTGAACCGCCTCAGCCGCCTCATCCAGTTTTCCTTTTGGGATGGCCTGACACGCCGTATCGATGGCTCCAACATTGCCAAGGTCGCCGTCGACCCCAAGGACTGGACCGACGATCCACATCCTCGTGTATACATTCCCCAGGGCGCTCCCGAGCAGTATGAGTACTATACGCGCATTGCCCGCGAGCACCCCGATATGCGTCTTGAAGTCATCTGGCTGCCAAAGAATTGCGACGACCCTACGTATGTGCGCGACCTCAACAAGGCCCCTGGTTTGCTTGCCATTGCCATGGAAGAATGGATTGACCCTGAAACCAACAAGAAAGACTTGAGGGGGCTGCCTTTCGTGGTGCCGGGTGGCCGCTTCAACGAGATCTATGGGTGGGACAGCTACATGTGTTCCCTCGGCCTGCTTGTCAACGATCGCGTCGACTTGGTCAAGTCCATGGTTACCCATTTCTGCTTCTGCATCAAGCATTACAACAAGATTCTCAACGCAAACCGCACATACTATCTCTGCCGCTCCCAGCCACCTTTTCTTACCGACATGGCCCTGCGCTGCTATGAACGCATCAAGCATGAACCGGGTGCGCTCGACTTTCTGCGCGAGGCCATTCTTGCTGCCATCAAGGAGTACAACTCAGTCTGGATGAGCCCGCCTCGTTATGATCCCGAGACTGGCTTGACCAGGTACCGACCCACTGGCTTGGGCGTGCCTCCGGAGACGGAAGCCACCCATTTTGAGCACATCTTGCAGCCGTATGCTGACAAACATGGCATGACTTTCCACGAGTTTGTTGACGCGTACAACTACCAACGCGTGCACGAGCCCGAATTGGATGATTATTTCCTGCATGACCGTGCCGTGCGCGAGTCTGGTCACGATACTTCCTACCGTCTTGAGAAGGTTGCTGCAGATCTTGCGGTCGTCGACATCAACGCCCTGCTATACAAGTACGAAGTTGATATTGGCCGATGCATTCGCAATCATTTCGGAGACAGGCTTGAGATTCCAGCAGAATTCTGCACAGGCGATATGAAGCCTGGTCATATTGAGAATTCTGCAGCATGGGAGCGTCGCGCTAGAAAGCGACGTGTCCAGGTCGACAAGTATCTCTGGGACGAGGAAGCCGGCATGTATTTTGACTACAACACGGTCAAGCGTGAACGTACAGGCTACGAAAGTGCCACTACGTTCTGGCCAATGTGGTCCGGACTTGCCACGCCTCGCCAAGCTAGTATCCTTGTCGAAAAAGCTTTACCTAAGCTTGAAGCCTTTGGTGGGCTTGTTTCGGGTTCGGAAAGATCGCGTGGCGAGGTCGGTATTGACCGCCCTAACCGACAATGGGACTACCCCTTTGGTTGGGCTCCACAACAGATGCTCGCTTGGGTTGGTATGCAGCGGTATGGCTATGATGTTGAAGCTCAGCGTCTGGCCTACCGCTGGCTTTTCATGGTCACCAAGGCTTTTGTCGACTTCAACGGTGTTGTTGTTGAAAAGTATGACGTTACAAGGAAGGTGGACCCGCACAAGGTCGAGGCTGAATATGGTAACCAGGGCAGTGACTTTAAGGGCGTTCCCCGCGAAGGGTACGTATTGCACTTGTGACCATTGATACGATGAAAGAAGAAAGGATATGCTAACAAATTCATTTTAGTTTCGGATGGGTCAACGCAAGTTATGTCTATGGCCTCACGCTCCTTAGCGCACACCAGCGTCGTGCTCTCGGTGCTCTAACCGACTGGGACACGTATGCCAAGGCCATGACCGACCTGGGCATGATGTAGAAGACCTTGACAGCTGCAGGGTTTTTATTCGCATCTTCACAAAAGAATATATACCAGTATGGAATGTTTTGGTTAATAGCCAGCTTGTTTTGTTCGTATTGACTTAGGGCGATTGATGAGACAGTCTTTTTTCTCGATATTGATGCTTTACTTGCATAGCCACACCGAATTTGTTTACCCGCCCGTCGAATAAGTTGATTATTATAATGACGAAGTGGTGCAAAGATGCATTTTTCTATTTCGGTCCGGGGATCTTTCTTTTCTTGTTGTTATGGTAATGCTGATGTGCTTCGCTTAACTTACTTACACTTATTAGTCTAATCTTGAATGATTTGACAAATCTTGAACCAATTTCTTTTCCTCTTCCCGATTTACCAGACTTTGATACTTTGTGATTTTGCGTAAACAGATAAGAGTTTGGTCAGTACAAACAAACGTAACCAAGTAATATGTATCCCATTTAGTATGGATAAACTCATCGCCTATCGTCTCATCATATCAAAGTGCGATCAGCGCTATCTTCCCATCCTTGGAGAGTAAAGAAAAACATGGGTGCTTATCTCAACGATGCTAACCCGAATTCCCATATACATACAATTCATGCATGCATGTGTGTGTGAGTGTTGAATGAACCTTTCCCGCTCCCCTTTCCCTGAACTTGTTGAAAAATCTAGCCCTTCTTTTTTTCTGTTGGACCGACGCCCCCGTATACACACCAAAGGAACCTCTGGAATAAAAACAAAGAGAAAGTGATAAAACAAAACAGAACGAAAGGAAAAAAACGCCATTTACCCCATTTCTCCCATCGTCCAAATGCAGAAATCTTCTTTCCTCCTTGTTCTGGGTTAAGAAAAAAAAGAAAAGCTTGTTGAACGCTTTTCCGGCAATAGTCTTATCCGCCATTGTGCTGTTTTTAGATGGGTTGAGTCTAGAACATGCCGTCAATCTCACCAGTCTCGACGTCGACGTCAATATTCAGATAGCCTGGTGCAGTGGGAAGACCAGGAATTGTTTGAATATCAGCAGCCAGCGCGTACAGGTATCCTGCACCTGCTGCCATGCGCACGTCTCTGATGGGGATGATGAAGTCCGTTGGTGCGCCCTTGAGACTTGGGTCGTGAGAAAGACTGTACTGAGTCTTTGCAACGCAAATGGGCAGATTGCCGAACCCTTGCTTGACGTACGTGTCGACCTTCTTTTGTGCAAGTTCAGAGAATTCGACGGCAGAAGCACCGTACATGCGCTTGGCAATCGTCTCCATGCGCTCTTGCACAGTGCCGCTAGACGTGTCGTAAAGAAGCTTGAAGTCAGGCTTAGGCTTGGCCGACGCAGCAATGATACCTTGGGCAAGGTCCACAGCGCCCTTTCCGCCTTCGGCAAAGTGGTTGGCTGGAATGGCGTCTTCGGCACCGGCAGCAATGGCCTCTTCCCGGATAATATCGATTTCGGCTTGGGTATCGGTAGCGAAGCGGTTGATGGCCACAACAACGGGAACTCCGTATGCCTTGGCGTTCTCAATGTGCTTCTTCAAGTTGACGCAGCCAGCGCGGAGGATGTCAATGTTCTCGGTACGGTAGACTTCTGGCAGCTGAGCACCGGGGCTGATGTCCGGACCGCCACCGTGGTTCTTGAGGGCTCGGACAGTAGCGACAATGACAACAGTGTCAGGCACAAGGCCGGAAGATCGGCACTTGATGTTGAAGAAGCGCTCACCTCCCATGGTGAAGTCAAAGCCAGCCTCAGTCACGACGAACCCGGCTTGTGCATCGTGATCCTCGTCTGGCTCGGTACCAGCCAGCTTGAGAGCAATCCTATCCGCAAGGACTGAAGAAGCACCAATGCTAATGTTTGCGAACGGACCGGCGTGCACAAATACAGGAGTGCCTTCAAGGGTCTGCATCATGTTGGGCTTGATGGCGTCAACCAGCAGAGCAGTCAAGGCACCACCCGCGCCAATGTCGTCGCAAGTGACGGGGTCACCAGCGCGGGAGCTAGCGACGACCATGCGACCCAGGCGCTCGCGGAGGTCTGAAAGATCTTTGCTGAGAGCGAGAATGGCCATGCACTCACTGGCGACTGAGATGTCGAAACCTGTCTCACGAGTCTGACCCTTCTCGGTGGGTGCTTGTCCAACGGTGATCTTGCGTAGATGTCTGTCATTGACATCAAGCACGCGTCTCCAAGTAATGGTCTCAGGGTCAATGTCCAGCCTGGCGAACTTTGTAATCTCCTCTTCGGTCAGATCATCTGGGTTCGTCTTGTCGATCCCAAGCTTCTTGAGACGGCGGAACATGACAGGCACAAACTCACGCTTGCCCTTCTTAGCTGGGACCAAGCGCTTATATAGTGCGGCGTCCTTTTGTGTGTTCTCATGGAACATGCGCGTCTCAATAGCCGCGGCGAGCAGGTTATTCGCAGCCGTGATGGCATGGATATCACCAGTGAGATGAAGGTTGAACTGGTCCATGGGAATAACCTGACTGTATCCTCCACCAGCGGCACCACCCTTGATACCAAAAGTAGGTCCCATACTGGGTTGTCGCACGTTGGCAAAGCATATCTTGCCGAGGTGCGCGCCTAAAGCCTGTGCTACACCAATTGTGGTTGTGGACTTGCCCTCTCCGAGGGGCGTGGGGGTGATACCGGCGATAAGAATATACTTGCCGTTTTTGCGGTGCTCGAGACGCTTCAGCAGAGAAAGATCAACCTTGGCCTTTGTAGCACCGTAGGGCTCCAGTTCATGGGGCAGAATGCCGACCTCCTTTGCGACGGCCGTGATCTGCTTTGGGTGCTGCTTCCGCGAGATGGCAATGTCCGAGGGTATTGGATCTTCAATCTTGATGGGAAGAGGCGTGATCTTGCGCTTCTTCTCTCTGTCAAAGGTTGCGTCGGCTGAGTCGACCAGGTTCTGCAGCAGCATGGCGATGGTCATGGGTCCGACACCTCCTGGTACTGGTGTAATGTGCGATGCGACTTCGACGGCTGACTCGTAGTCGACGTCTCCTACAAGTCTTTGGCCGCTCTTCTTGGTCTCATCGGGAATGAAGTTTGTGCCAACATCAATGACGACAGCACCGGGCTTGAGCCAATCTCCCTTGACAAATTGGGCCTTGCCAATAGCAGCAACGACAATGTCTGCGCGACGAACGACTTCTGGAAGGTCGGCTGTTCGGGAGTGGCATACAGTAACAGTCGCATCAGCGTTCTTCAGCAAGTAGCTGACTGGGCTTCCCACAATGTCACTGCGTCCTAGCACAACAGCATTCTTGCCCTTGATGTCGATGCCAGCCTCCTGTAGCAGCACCATGACACCCTTGGGTGTGCATGGCGTGAAGAGAGGCTTGCCGCCACGCTTGGCCAGCTCGCCAATGCTCTGAATGCCGAAACCATCGACGTCCTTCTCATCAGCAACAGCCGATGTGATGGTATGTTCGGAAATGTGCTTGGGAAGGGGTAGCTGGACAAGAATGCCGTGAACAGCGGGGTCGTTGTTGTACTGTTCGATCTTGTACAGAAGCTCAGCTTCGGTCACGTCGTCGGGCAAGTGGACAAGCTCGCAGTCGATGTTGGCCTCCTCGGCGGCCTTGAGTTTCATGCGCACATAGGTGCTGGAGTCTGACCTGTCGCCAACTGCGTGGTGTCAGCCTCTCGCAGCATCAAGGGCCAGCCCAATGGCATATCACTCACCTTGGACAATCTTCAGGCTGGGCCTGTACCGCGGGTTCTTTGCCTGCTTGTCCTTGATCTTGGCACCTAGGCGCTCGCGGATGCTCTTCGCAATGGCAGTGCCGTCAATCTTTTGTGCGGCCATGACGAAGCGCGTACTGGAGAATTGCCTTGTGCAGTAGGCCGGCTTGAGGACAGTATATAGATGGCGGGGGGATGTTGAGCACCAATATTTTCTCGGCGGGGTAGCTGTGGCCTGCGGAAAGCAACGGCGGGTGACTCCAAGACGCGCACCGCAGATTGGGTAAACTCTCATCATCCTGCCGACAGATTCTGCGTATCTTTTCCAAGTCTAGTGGGTATGCGGTGATATACGCATTTCCATGTCTGTTCGAAATGACTCAGTCTGGCGCCCGCGATAGCAGCGTGTCCCCCGGACAATGCAGAAGACACGCCCACCGCCAAAGTTTCCAAGCCCCCGACTCGCGTGAGCTTTATTACGTACACCAGGGATCCCGAGTCAGAATCGGGAAACTATGCAACTGCAGACGCGGTGCGCAGGCCCGCTAACCAGACTATCGTTATCGAGACCAATCATCTGCTGCCAGCAATAACTGTTCATGGATTTGTTTTTGCGAAGTCCGTCTAGCTATGCAGCACAAGTAACTCCGTCCCTATCGCTGTCTAACGCCTAGCACATTCATCCATCAATATCCCATACATGACGAACATTTCTTCAGCCATGGGCTTCAGCCGCTCGGCTTCTTCAGGCTTGCAGAACTGGGCAAACCTATCCGGATGCCAGAGGTTGCGACCTTCCTTGAGCCACTCGTACGAAAACCTACCGGAACCCTCGAGCAGTGCTAGTAGATCGTGGACACAAATTCCCAACAGGGACTCGTCTTGCTTTTGCGGCTTGCATTCCACCTTGGTACAATCATGAACATAGCTTTTCATCGTGGGAAATTCCTGCAATTGACCCGGTATGAGCATCTTATCAAGGTCGTCCGTGAATCTGGCGTATGCCGCTTTAGGATCTTGATCTTCTTTGTCATCACAAGAGTCAATTCCAGGAGCCGTGTACCCATCCAATGAGACCTTTTTTTTTCATGGCAATATGCCATCCACGCCCCATGTCGCGCAGAACCAAAAGTTTCTCGCCTTTATTCAGGTCCAAATCCCATAGGTCATTTGTAGGACGTCGGCAAGTCTTGCTGATAGCAAACCGAAAGTCACGACTATCTAAGTTCTCGAGCTGAGGATATCTCTTTGGAGTGGTAGTCGCGTTGTTCTCGTCGAAAGAGTTTGATGCTGCCATACGGTCGAGATCTCTGTCGAGAGGTGAAGCTGATAGTGTAGAGCATTTAGATGCTCCTGATTCCCGGATGAGGTTGGAATGTCTTTGCTCCCACTCAAAATGAATGATGAACGGTGGCTCTTTGCCTGGCTCCGTCTTTTTGATGAAGGCAAATGTTTCTCCCTTTTCTAAATACGGACTTATAATGACATGCTGTGCGTATTAGCAACAAGGTCTCCATGAACATGAAATACTCACAACAAGCTCCTCTGCAATTATGCTTGCCCACTCGTCTATTCCCAGACCATTTTACATTTCATACCATGCAGAGCTAACAGATTATGGGCTAAAGCTCCATACATCGCTATCGCCCTTCTTGGCGTAGAACGATCCGTTAGAATGCCACTGCACATCATCTAGTGTTCCGTCCTTAAACACACCCTTGGTAGCGTTGTACTTTGTGCATGAGTAAGAACTCATTTGCCGCCTAAGAATCTATTAGCCGTGTAGGGAAGTTCCAGTAGGCTTATCGCTCACAATCTAGAGGTGAGCTGCGGTGGAACTTTGGAGCAGATCCAAACTGTCTTTGACCGTGCAACGAAAGAATCGCTTGCTCCAAACCATATCCACAGATGAGATGTGTAAGTTTTTGACTTGGTAGAATTCTTCAAGAATTCTTCCAAGGCTGGCGGTCGATGTGTGCCAATTCTGTATGTGCATTCTCCACTGATCAACTCGAGCTTGAAGAAGAAAGAATCAGGGGTTACATCCCAAGGAAGCCTATATGATTCTTTTAACGAGTCCTGTAAAGAGATCGAAGAGTACAGCCGGTGGTATGTACGTGCTGTGCAATAGTCAGCTAGATCAGCTTCTCCCAGAACCATATACCTAATCTCACGCTTTGTAGCCGTTAGGACTGCCAATGAATTGATCGCTACCTGTGCTAAGGGCTATGGTGTAAGTGTTTGGCTCAAGAGGCTCAAGGCTGTTCAGTATAGTTGGTATGATGGTAGTATCGCGTAGGACAGGAGACATGTTTGCTCTAAGAATTGCGGGTCGCTGCTACTAGCAACCTGAAAGAGTGATGTGGGATAATAGCTTTCCTCTTGACTCATATCATGAGATTGACAGATGTATAGGGAGCCTTTGAATGTCAAGAAGTTACCAGTCTCAAGCAGTAGGTAGGAATGTGTTTGCGCCAAGACCCCACTCATGGCAAACGGCAAGTGCGAGACATGTATCTCCAGGGACTAGCGAAGACTGAGAGATGAAATACATGCTTTTCAGTGAGATTAATAGTCATCATACATTCGAGATCTTATACCTTTGTGAAGAGCAGCTGGATCAAATAGAGAAGTCTTGACGACATGGCAAAATCCATGGGAGTTGCGCCAACAAGTCATGTTCTTTCCAAGACTTCCTCAACCCTTGAAACTGTGCTTGTGGAAATTATCAGAGATCAAATAAGGAAGCCATAAGTAGTACTCAACCAAAAATCAAGTGTCAGAAACAGCAGACATGTTCATGAGTAAATGATGCAAGTGGCCATGGGGCAGATCAGTGAGTTTCTCGCAACACTATACCCGTCAGCACGCTGAGATACTACCGTAATCTCGCTTATAACGATGAGCTGCTTCTGAGTCACAAAACGGTCATAACTGGGCACACGGCGTTCCTCATCTGCCCAGTTCTATTCGATCTAGAACGGGGAGCCGAGTTGATCCTGAGTTTGACTCATACTCAACCGCAAGTACAAACACACACAAGATCAATCTCCGGTGAGATCAGTCTCAAAGTGTACAATGCGCAAGGCTTGTGAGTCAGTTGAGTGTGGTGATGTTGAGCCACAGTGGTGGATGCAGATGCATGAGTGCGGGATGAACCCACGCTAGTCGGTTAGTGCCAAGCAGCCCACTTCGCCCGCTGAACGTCGATATGCAAAAGAGTCACCCGAAATTCAGAGACGCCGCCCGCACCATATAAGCCGACACCCAACCCCACCTCCACACTCCCATACCGCCAACATGAGGCCGATTCTTCTCTCGGGTCACGAGCGCGCCCTTACGCAGGTCAAGGTACGCATGCGCCATGCAAGATGGTGAGGCGAGGGGATACTGACAAGAGGCAGTACAATGCTGATGGCGACATCATCTTCTCCGTTTCCAAGGTACGAAACTCTACCAATTTTCGAGACTCGCCATTTTAACAATTTCCAGGACCACGTTGTCTGTGCTTGGTGTTAGTTTACGGTCTGCCTGTACGCGGAAAGGGCGCTGAGGCTGATGCGATACAGATTCACACAACGGCGAGCGGATAGGAACATACCATGGACACCAGGGAGCGCTATGGACCGTCGACGTAAACCCATCCACCGAGCTGCTGGCCACTGGTGGCGCCGACAACACCATGCGATTATGGCACGTCCCAACCGGCAAGCTTCTGCACACCTGGGAGTTCAACACCAGTATCAAGCGCTGCGAATTCTCTCCCGATGGAAGGCAGTTGCTTGGTGTTACCGAGAAGCGATCCGGACACCTCTCGACCATCTGTGTCTACGAAATCAACCCCGACCCTGAGGCGCAACAATCAGACGAACAGTTGCTCAGGATTGTGTGCGACGAATCCAAGGCGACCGTTGCGGGCTTCTCATACCTCGCCAAATATATCATTAGTGGACACGAAGATGGCTCAATCACCCAGTGGGACGGCAAGACCGGAGAACTCCTTAGCTCCAACTACGACGCTCACGAGCCAGACATGCAAATCAGTGAGTCTCGATATGTTTTGTCGTCAGAAAATCCAGGAACTGACAATTGGTAGCCGACATCCAATGGGCACCTGACAGGTCGTACTTCATCACCGCAAGCAAGGACAAGACCGCAAAGGTACACCAACTCGCAAACCCCGTCACACTTTGATCAGGCTGACACATGGTAGCTCATTGATGTCGAGGACCTTAGCGTTCTGAAGTCATATGTTGCAGACACACCGCTTAACTCTGCAGCAATCACACCAGTAAAGGACTACGTTATTCTCGGAGGAGGACAGGCCGCTATGGATGTCACCACCACGTCGGCGCGCCAAGGAAAGTTCGAGGCCCGTTTCTACCATAAGATCTTCATGGAGGAGATCGGTCGCGTACGTGGTCACTTCGGACCCTTGAACTATGTTGCTGTACACCCAAAGGGCACGAGTTACTGCAGTGGAGGAGAGGACGGATACGTACGTGTGCACCACTTTGACAAACCATACTTCGACTTCATGTACGAGGTTGAGCGCGAGGCTGCGCGTGAGGCTGCGCAAGCAAACTTGTAATGTATGGGTTTTCGGACGTGAAAGATGCGGACGATACCAATCGATATGGCTGCATGCATGCAATGGCGTTCCGGTGGTTGATTGGGCGCTTGTCGAATTAGACAGGCCTTTGTCAAAAAGTTCATGAGCTATCAGGTCAGGTAGAGACACGCTGCAAGCAAGCGGGCTGCAAAAGCTCATCAATGAAATTTTGACACGGAGAACAATCGTTACGATCCATGTCCTGTGATGAAACTGGTCTTCACATGCTAAACAATGTCCCGCCCCAAGCACCAGCGCCTGTCCACGAGGAAGGAACAGACACCCAAGCATTAGGTCAATAGTACAAGCAAAGGGCTTGAAACGGTAATCAATCTTCCTGCTTTTGACAAACGAGTCCATCATCGAGAAGGAAGGACGACGTATACTGAAGAGGTTGTTTACAATAAAACATCTGGGTCGTGTACATTCTGAGATGCTTCTTGGTCAGACAAAATTTCCGAAGACGCCGAAACTATGAACTGCAGCCTTTCCAATGGCGCACGAGTGAATCTAATGGAGCTGTGCAGCGTCTCGGGGACAAATGGCTAGTTGTTTACAGACGGCGACATGTAATCAATGTCTCGTGTCAGCAACAACGAGCCAGTGGCTTAGTGAAAGAAAGGGCGGAAGAAGGGCTGGAGCTGGAACGCGAACGTGGAAGCTTCGAGAGGCCCTGACCTAAGCGAGACTAGCGTGTGGCGGTGACCTCACCTGCCGCTTCGACTCATCGCGGCCCATATTGCTTTGGGCCTCTACATAAGCAAAACATCCATCCACCTTATTTGGCAATTCTATATATCCAACTCTCCTCGCTCGCCTCCTTCAACTTTGGCCACTTCACCAACAAACAAACAAACGCCAAACACAAGCGCCCAATACTCCATCACCGAGACCGTTCGTAGTCTTCTATACACCAACTTCAGCTCCTCTATTTTATCAGCCACATAATCAGAATGTCTGACGACTGGAGCTCCGTCACCAAGATTGGTAGCCGTGTCCGCGGCGGCGCTGCTGGACCTCGCGAGACCGTAGTCAAGGGCAAGTCAGCTCTGAATGCCGCTCAGCGAAGCGGCGGTATCGTTGCCACAGAGAAGAAGTTCGCCTCAGCCAACGCAGTGAGTAACCCTAGACCTTGTCTTTCTCAAAGCTCAACCAAAAACATTACTGACAAGCAAATCACAGGGTGCCTCATCAGAAGGTCAACGTCTCACCAAAGTTGACCGCTCCGACGACATCGTTAAGCCCAAGACCGTTGGCATCGCTGTCGGTCAGGCTATATCAAAGGCGCGCTCTGAGGCGAAGAACGACAAGGGCACCACGATGACACAAAAGGACTTGGCTACAAAGTGCAACACCACACCCACTATTGTAGCAGACTTTGAGCGCGGTACTGCTACGCCAGATCAGAAGTTGCTGGCAACTATGGAGCGTGTGCTCAATGTCATCCTGCGGGGTGACAAGATTGGACAGCCCAAGTTCCCAAACAAGAAGAACTGAGCGACTCTTTGTTTCGGCTTCAGGCTGGGCGCTGGAATGCGACTAGGCTGTGGTCCGGCAGATTTCTTTGCTCAGAAACGTGGCCAAGGCTACAATAAGTCTCTTCTGGATTAGCGGGCTTGGGATGGGCGTTTGATGGATATCACGATGTGACTCCCTTCTGATGGGAAGCATATCATAGCTCTGGCCTAGCCTATACTGCACAGGCTGCGATAGCCAGCTCATACTGAGTGGCACTAGATGCTAAATAAAATCCACTTTTTTGAATTCATTTATCTCTGACGTCATGTTGTTTATGTATTTCGCTACTATGGAGCATTGGAGGCATGTGTTCATGTCATTCCGAATGTATGGGTGAGCGAATATCCAGAACACCTGTCCGTGACGAGGCCCCGCTACGTGATTGGCTTGTCCAAGCTTACTAGCGCCCTTTCCCTGCCATGCCCGCCAAACATGAGACCCTTGGATTCCTTACTTACCCCACGTTATGCTCATCCCCTCGAATAATCTTAGATCCAGGATCTTTGGCCTTGGTCCCTTGTTGTAAATCTACCTTTTCTTCTGGTTTCTTTATGGACCACCAGTCACTACTTACTACTTTGCTAATGTGTAACCTAGATCCATTACCCTCGTCTCCATTGCTTTTATATCCGTATTTTATCTCGGAATGAGTACTGCGGGGCATTCGGATCCCGTACCCGTAGGGAGTGGTAGTGGGAAAGTGCAGGATTTTCACTACAAATTCACCGTGCAAAAGGGTTTTTTTCAGCAGAGTGAGGATGAGACGGATGATAAGGAGTTTGATTTTGTATGTTCGTTGAATCTCTCTAGTTTACATATAAGTCCCCTCAGTTTGGATATGACCCAGCGAGAAATTGCTATATTAGAAAGAAAGGGGTCTTTGCGATAGGCACAGAAGAAAAAAGCTAATAATTTTTTTTGTTGTTGTTTGGAATAGAAAACCTCGAATTTCGGACTGATCAATCGCACGTATTCGACGGACTCTGATGAAGACAAAGAGAAGGGTACGCAATGGCAACGATTTGAAAAGTACATCCGCAGCCTCGAGACTTCCAAGCAAGCCGGCGAAAGCTACAAGGTGCTTTTCCTAGGTCGCCACGGTCAAGGCTGGCATAACGTTGCGGAAACGAAATACGGGACTAAAGCTTGGGATGTACGTTATTCTTTCTCTCCTCTAAACTACTCTCTCTTCAATGTACGCTCTTTTGCTAAGATGAACAAAGTGCTACTGGTCCGCCCTCGACGGCGCAGACGGCATCACCTGGGCAGATGCACATCTGACTCCGCTAGGCGAAGCCCAGGCAAAAGCCGTGAATGAACTTTGGTCTGCTCAACTCGTGAAAGGGATTCCGGCACCGGAAACTTATTACGTTTCTCCTTTAACCCGTACGTTTTCTCCCCCTCGTTCTTTTCTGTCCCAACGGACCCCCCACCCCCCAACAGTACGATTCGTCCTGACGGACCTAGGCACAATCCAAACCGCTTCCCTCTCCTTTTCCTCCCTCCCCCTCCCCGCCTCAGCCCCTTACAAACCCCTCATCAAAGAACTCCTCCGCGAGGCCCTGGGTGTTCACACCTGCGACCGCCGTAGCACGCGCTCCGAAATTCAAGCAGCACACCGCCATCTCACTTTCGAACCGGGGTTCGCAGAGGAAGATGAGCTGTGGTTGGCTGACTACCGCGAGCCGAGATCGGCGAGGAATTATCGACTTGCGGTGTTGCTGGATGAGGTGTTTGAAGGGGATGAGGGGGTCGTGGTGTCGATGACGAGTCATTCGGGGGCGATTGGGAGTTTGTTGGTGGGGTTGGGACATCGTGTAAGTCTTTCCCTCTCTTTTTCCTTATTCTTGCTGTGGTTTTGGTCAAGTATGGTTAAGGAAGAAGGGGACGGGGATGGATGAAAGAGAAGGGATGTGTGCTGATTAGATTTTAGGAATTTGCGCTTGAGACAGGGGGCGTGATACCCGTGTTTGTTAAAGGCGAGAGGGTGCAGGGGAAACGACCGGTTCCGCCAAAGGAACCGAGTGATGCGCCGCCGTTGTGTCCGGAGCCGCCTGTGGATATGTAGTAGGGACCGTTTTTTGAGAAAAGAGAAAGGAAAGAAGGTGAATCAGGGAATCGAAGTTAGTGTTATTATGAAAGCTATAGAGCACAAAGTGGAGAGTGGAATAGAAAGTTACCGGTATATTCTGTCAAGTTTATAATAAGAATTCGTTGACCAAAAGAGGGGTATCTAGCGATAGCGAAAGTCCTGTATGCAACAAGTGCCATTTGAAAAACAAAATGGTGGGAAAAAAATGGGGATATATGGGAAAAGAAAACCTTTGAACGCAAAGAAGAACCCCCCGCTAAGACGGTAAGCGGAGAAAAAAGAAAGGAAAAAGAGGGGGAAGAGGAAGAAGAAGTCGAAGAAGAAAAAAAAAAAGGAGGGGGGCATCAACCTTCACCACCCCCAGGTCCTCCACCACCACCACCGCAGTCACTCAATCCAAGCCTCTACCCAGTCAACCCCCTCCTCCACTCCACAACCCCAACTCTCTTCTCCTGCTCCTTTACCAAAACCATACCAAACCACGCCATAATATCTAGCCCCAAACCCCTCTCCAACGCCTTAATCCGCTGCATATTTCTCACACCCTGCTCGTCATACCCCAGACACTGCAGCGGCCACCCACTCTTAATCATCTCGCGCTGCTGATACTTGTTATGTCGAAACGCATCATACGGCGACGCGCCTAGGACTACAAATAGCAAAGTGATGGCTAGAGACCAGAGATCGGTAGCGTGCGAGGGCGGCGATGTGCATGTGGAGGTGAGCAGAGAGGGGTCGAGGTAGTCCCAAGTTCCTGCGCCGAGGGGTGAGGTGCTGGCGTCGATTGTGGCGTTGGGTAAGGTGAGGGTTGTGGAGGAGAAGTCCGAGTAGAGGGGTTTGGGGGTGGAGGAAGAAGAGGTGGTTGAGATGAGGATGTTGGAGGGTTTGATGTCGCCGTGGGTACAATGTTTGTCTTGCATCCAGATGAGGCTGTCGATTAGAACGAGGGCGATGCGCGGGAAGATGGCGGTTAGTTTTTCGGCGCGGGCAGGTTCGTCGAGTGTGTTGAGGTGTTTTTGGAGCCAGCCTTCTAGTGTGTCATCCATGGCACGGAGGAGGAGCGAGCCGCTGCGCGTGTCGAGGCCGTAGAAGGAGACGATGTGGTGCTCGGCGTCCGGGAAGCGGGTTAGGTAAGAGAGGATGCGGGCTTCGGCGCTGAGGACCTTTTTCGCGCTTGTCATGGCGGGGACTTTGACGGCATAGAGAATAGGTGTAGGGGGCAACTTTGTCAGACTTGCGCTCGAGTCTGCACCTCGCACGGGAGTCAGGGGTGGTGTCATGTCGGGACTGCAGGGAGTCTGGGATGAGGTTTGGTTGCTCGGCTTGGGGAGACACGGGGTTGCGAGAAACACATCACTCCAGGCGCCCTCACCAATCTTCTTCTTTCGTCCTCGGTCATCTTTGCAAATCTCGTAGTCCCTAACGTTGTGCGGAAAGGTTATGAGTTCTGTGCTACCGGGCTGTGGCGTGCTCTCCAGGGAATCAAGTCGAGGACGGCCCCTTGACGATACAGAACTTCCGCGACGCAAATCTGATAATGAACTCAGAAAATCAGAAGACGTGGAGTTACTTTTTGAGTGCGCCTTGATATGAGGTGTTCCTGGGGGAGTAATGGTACCACTGTCGTGCGACATTTTGATATCCTGCGCACCCATGGTTGAAGAACGACGTTTGGTGGGCGATGCCGGTGGCGTTGACAGAGTGGGTGCCGCGGACTGTCCCGGCTGTTTCCCAGGAACAGCAAGATGGTATCCTTCTCTTACTACTTTGTCTGTACGTACGTGAAGTTGTGGTAGCTGCCTAGTGTCTATCTCTATCTTGGGTGATAATGTGAATCTCAGTTGTTCTTCCCTTGAGTTTGGGAAGGTAAATCGGGGAGGTTCTGCCATGATCGTCTCCCTGGGGGATTGTGACTTGACAGTGCTCGCGTCTGACAAATATCACTATGCGGTTACAATGTGCGGGTGTATCGTGTTAAAGTTTTTTTGTTGAGTCCTGAAACACAATGCGAGCGTAGAGTTGCCCAATAGACCCCGGGAAACAGTGCGAAACGGAGACAGGATTCTGGAAAGTCGAGGGAGGAAACGTGTAAAGCCGAACAAGCCCGGGTTTTGCCTTGTTTTATTGTGGTATCCCAGTCCTTGTGCCGGAATCGGAAGAAGCGACCTAACAAAGAAAGCGAGAAAATAAACAGTGATACAGGTAATGGTACAATAGATAAGGAGGCGCCTCCGCTAATACAATTTGGCGCGTCCTACCAGATAATAGGCGGAAGCATAATTCGCGGTTTCAGGAAAATCGCGGTACGCGCGGACGCGGTGCAGCGGGAAAAATAAAGGGACGTGGTTTTGTATCAGAGAGGTGATAGAAAAAGGATCGGAGTTGCAAACGGTCTATAAGCAGAAATGGGCTGCGGGGGGCGGGTGAGACACCCATCGGGCCCGGAGACGTAGCCAGGGCGCAGGCAACCGCGCGCAACTTTAACCCAAGTGTCGGTTGGGAATGTGATTCGCAGGGGGGGGAAGGAGACAGAGGTGCTTCTTTGAGGCGGATCGGGGCATTCCAGAGTCACACCCTATTCACCCGTCTTTCCCTCCCGGGTTATGGTTCCGACTAGTTGTTGGCTAGAGCGTGCAAATGGGGGCGCATCCTTGGCTTTGAGATCTCCAATCAATCCCCAGGCTCGTAGGAACGTGCGCGGTTTGATTGGGCTGCGGGACGTCTACCCATCTCAGAGGCGTGTTGCTTCCTCATTGCGGTTTACTTGCCTTTGGGTGTTCCAACTCAGGTAAACCGCTTGGCAGCCCTTGAGAGTGTCGCCGAAAAAACCTAATTGTTGTGTGTGTCAAGTTGTTCGCTCGGCGATACTCCGGTATGTCTCTATGCCGACGTGCCTGTGTGACGTCGTCGCTGACTGCACAATTGTTTAAAAATCATGAGATCGTGGGGATCATGTGGAGCAGTTCTGATGAGTTATCGCTAGCTTGCCGTTGGCTCCGTCCGTGGTGTATCGTTTGGTTGCCGTCTCGTCCGAGAGCAAGCATGTTTGCTAGTGACGTATTAGTTAGGAGATGTCTTTCTCTCGCAGCCCCATGATGGAGGTGCGTGTCGTCTCTGTCCTCGGTAGTAGATAGTCAGCCTGCATTGTGAGCTTGTTCATGCGCTGGCAATCATCGTCGTCATCACCATCGGTATCATGATCAGATGGCAAGCAATGAGACTGAAGCGAATCGGCGTTTATTCTTCCCTTGGCTCCTGCAGCGTCAATTGCATTGCATGTTTAGACTGGTAGATCATCAAGAGACGCTCCTCGTTGTCTTTCGGCTTACCATGCTCAAGACAAGGTCTCAAATCAGTGGAGGCTTGAGTGCAAGAGCAAGCCACCGCGGACTGGGGAAAATCCATGGAGGAGCATGCGGGAGCTATCAAGTCACCCACGCGGACGTCGGCCGATCAGCAAGTCAACGACACGCTGCGATATTCGGCCATTCCCCGCCTTCGCATTGGCACGGAGAATTGTTATGCACAACCCGAATGTCGACCGAGCAGAACTTGGTAATCGAGATGCGACAAGTTTATCGTGTTCTCGTTCATGATAGCCGCCGGCATGCACAATAAGTGGGGCCTGTACCAAACCTGCCATGGCTGCACTATCGACTATCAACGTCAAACTCGAGATCATCTGGTCCACTCTATTGACAGGTCAAAGTCAATCGCCGGTCACCATGGCAGAGCAGTACAGAGCAGTGCAGTCTATTTGAATGATTGATTTCTTCTCTGCGTAGGTCTATCTCCCCATCTTTCCTACCTCCTCTCCTCAGCAGCAGCAGCAGCAGCAGCTCATTGCAGCGGAACATGTGCGCACACATGCTTGATATCAAAAAAACAAAAGATCAAAGCAAGGCTGATCCAGTTGACGCGCCGTGTAGAAACAAAGGAAACTCCCAAATACCCATACGCAAGGAAAGTACAAAAACTGGCGCACGAGGAAAGGGGACGATTACGTATATGCAGGATGAATATACAGGTAACATTATCCTCCTCCATGCTTAATCGCTCACACGAAGAGCGACATGGCGCAGCCCTGCCCAAGTGGATGCAGAGGTGTCCAAGATGAAATGCCGCCTTTAGTAGTGGCGAGGGTCTAATTGTGCCATACGCACTGTTCAATGCGAAACCCAACTCGATTGATGATTACAATATATTCTTGTATGGATACTCGAGATATACACAAGGCGTAGGGATGGCCTAATATCTGTTTTGTTGATTTTGCTGTTGCTGTTGCTGAGCGGCCGAGGAGCGTTTGTACGAATCGATAATCTGGCCCACCTGCTCCTCGTGCTCGCTCTGGCGTCAGTTTTCATATCCTGCCCCCCGTTGCCATGGGCTTGAGCTGTTGGCTTGTCGATACTGCTGGCCATTACTGCCAGGTCGGTATGACGGTGCCGGGCTGCGACTCTCATAAAACGAGGGAGGCGCAGATGGGTTGCTTCCGTCATTGCCCGCGCTCCGTGGTGGTGCGGCAGCGTAGTGCTCGCCAAAGTTACCCTCCTTAGAGGCCATTTGGCGCTGCTCCTCGGAGTAGTAGTCTTCGTCCTCGTCGATACGGCTGCGAGATCCAGTAGGGTGAGTGCCCTTGCCCTCACCGCGAGCAGTTGCGCCAAGAGCATCGAGCTCAGTGGTCAGCTGAGTTTGCGACTTGATGAAAGAACCACGGTCGTCGCGCATTGGCTGGTAGCGAGTATCAGGATTCTTGGTGAACAGAGCAAATCCAGATGAGACGAGAAGCATGAGAAGGAGGATGAGCGCAAAGGCAGCGTTGATGACGAAGAAGATGACACCCATGACACCAGTGACGATGGTCTAGACATGTTAGCTTCGGTGAGGACAAAAAGCAAAAAGTAGCATATGACTTACAGGTTGTTTGAAGACCTCAGTAAACATCAACAGGAAAAAGGCACTTAGGAAGTTGACGGCAGCGATGGCAATGTTGAAACCATTGGTCTTCTTGTCCATCCACGGGCGCATAACGGAGACAGCAATGAGGAGAACGGCCTCGATGATGACAATGGCAAATCCCTGGACCTTGCTGCTGCCCTGAGCGAGACCGACAAACATGGCCTTGATGAACAGGTATGCAAGCCATGGAATGATGAACCAGTAGGCAGTGGCCTTGAATTGGACATAGAGAAAGCCCCACTTGTTGAGCGCCACAGGGTCCGAGTAGAGGATGTAGGCGGGGTTCTTGTGCATGGCAATAGAACGCTGGGCAATACGGACGACCTTGGAAGAAGCCCACGTAAGTATACCAAGCATAGTAAGCATAGAAAGAATGGCCAAGACGACCAAACCGATGGAATCGCGGCGCGTCAGCTCCCAGAAGCTCAGAGCCATCATTTGGGGGAAGCCAATGAGAACAACACGGAAGAGAATGCCCTTGAGGACAGTCTGCCAGCCGTTGCGGAAGTCAATAAACTTGTCACCCTTCATCTTGCCAGCCTTGGACAGACCTTCGCAAATGTACTTGAAGGCGACAACACCAATGACGGTAAAGAGGATGAAGATGACAAAGAAGGTGTAGCCAGTGAAGAAGATGTTGGTCGTCTCAATCTTGGCCTTGAAGCCAACACGCTCAACACCGTGGAGGACGACACGTTCGCCACCAGCCTGGGCCTCGGTGGCAGCAGCGTTACTACGTGCGATGAGACGACCGACAGCTCCGGTGGTGAATTCGATGGCACGTCTGACCCTCCTCTTCTTCTGGACCTCGACAGAAATGTACGACAGTTGCGAGAGGTACGTGGTTGGTGTTCCACCGGTGGCGCGCTGGTACCATGTGGCCATCTTCTGGAGGAAGCTAACACGGATGATACCCATGGTCCATTGGAAGTTTTGGGTCCAGGCAGAGACAATGGGAGGGAGGGGGACGCCGCACATGCCGATGAAGGCTTGCGCCTGGAAGTAACCGAAGAGCGACATGGCGTTTGCAGCGACATGGGCAGCCGTGTTGGAGTGACCGAGACCAGAGGTAACAGCAGATGCCATCAGACCTAAGCCTGCTATAATGGCTGTGACCCAAGCGACAGCCTTTTGGTCGACCGAGTGTCCGTTTGACAGTTCTGCTTCTACACAGGCAAGCTGGACATGGGTTTCTAGATCCTTGATCTTTACTCGTACAACGGCGTCAAGATCAGGAATGGTGTATGCAATGCCTAAGGAAGGGTTAGCGACGAGGATGCGACACGCGGAGGCGCAAGAGGGGCTTACCTGGGATTGCGCTCATGATTTCCTGGCTAATATCGATGTTGGACTTGATTGTCAAGGGCCCGGCGTTCATGGGGCACATGCCCTCGAGCTCCTCTTGGCCGCAAGGGTCGAGCTTCTGGTTCATGGCCGAGAATCCGTAGACGAGCAGCTCGATGTCGGCCTCGATCTTGCCGGCGATGTTGGAGATACCTTCAATCTTGAAGCCCAAACTGCGGTTACCGGGGGTAAAGGCAACGTTGAAGAGCGTAGCTGAGAAGGACGAGTTTGCCATGCAAGGGTTGAGCGACTTTGATTCGATGAGGCGCTCAGCAGAGACGAGGGGCGCTGCGACGGCGGCGAGCCATAGCAGCGACTGGGAGAGGGAGAAGCGCATGACGGGCGGTGGTGTTTTGGGCGTTGTTCGTGTTGTTGTGTATTAGGCGTGGTGAGGCAGGGAGCCTCAGGCGTAGGCGTGAGCGTACTCCTGACGAGTACTGCTAAAGTTGGTCGGCCAGACCAGCGGCGAGGGAAGCTCCTTCAGCGAGCGTGGATCGGGGAGCGAGTTGGGGTGCACAGAGTGTGGGGTATGGGGGAGAGCGAGCGGCTGTCGAGAGCGACAAATGGGGGTGGTGATGATGTCGAGAAAGATGGTGGTTGCGCGCTGGGCGACGGGGAGGGAAACAGGGCAGGAGCGAGGCGGCGGCGGGCGGCGGGTCTTGGCTGGGGAGAAGGAGGCTAGCAGGCAGGATAGCAGGGCAGGGAGCAAGAGACCAAACGATGGGACAGGTAGCGATCAGCGGAGGTTTCCACTTGACGCGGCCTAGCTAAAGTGAACGAGCGTGTGCAGTGCAGTGCAGCGTAGTGTAATGTATTTCTCTGTGGGCGTCGCCGGCCGGACTCGAAGTGTTTTGAGAGTGCCTGAGCAGAGCGAGAGACAAGAGGAAGAGAGGGATCCCATGGGCCGTGGTCTATGCACCTAAGGCCGTCTCCTCTCTCAGGGGAGCGAGACGCAGACAGCGGTCCTCTCACAGGTGGGCTAGTGGGCCAAAGGGAATACGCGCGGCTCCTGTGCGCGCCGGTCCAGCCAGGCTGACTGCCCAGCCCCAAGCGCTCTCCTCATAATCCTGTACGCAGCCGTATACAACTTGTGGGTGTTTGGTATGTATCGCATCTATTTTGTTAGATGACAGGTATGTACCGTACCGTCTTGGTTAGCATGTACGTATTCACTATCGAAATCCACGCCTCCCAATCCAAGGCTGCAATGCAAAGGCCATTCCCTGCTGCAGCCCTCGTCGCGTGCCCTTTGCTCGCAGCCCCTGGTGTCTCAGGTCTGCTAAAAACAGACGCTGGTAATTTCTCCTTTGCGACCATCTGCAACACGCCGACAGGCCCAGGGCTGGCAAGGGGGGGGGGCGCGGTGACATGAGCGACAGACACGACGGCCCTCTGCTTCGCCACACTCGCACGCAGGAACAATTTCGGGCGGCCAATTACCGCCGCGCCTCTAGACCGCCTGGGCCGCTGACTGAAGCACCCGTCCCAGCCCTTCGTATCTTGTCGGGAACACGGCTGCCATGATGCTTACTACATACTCGCGCACTCTACACTATCTTCGCAACCACCTCGAAGGCATAGCAGAACTGCAACACGGACACACGGCACCAGAAACGCCTGTCGCCCGTCACCGCTGCTGCTGTTGCTGCTGCTGCTGCTGCCACATTAGCTTCGCGGCAGAACATGTCAACGTTATGCCATCCGGCATTCTGCGGCACGACAAGTCTGGTCAATGACCCCATCCGTGCATTCGGCACCAACGGATGGCTGCTGCTGCTCCTGCGCCTGCTCGTGCTCGTGCTCCCAAAACTCGCCTGGCGCCAAGATCTGGCCCCCGTGAGCCAATCACGCGCCGCCTACACATGCTCGCCCTCGACTAGCTCGGCCCATGAGCCGTTGACCTGTACTCTTTGTACACCATCGTGGCCGCCATTCAATATTGCTGCGCCTTCTCTAGTACCGTTTTTTCCGCTTTGCACCTCGTGCACCAATGACATCTGTGGCAAGAGCGGCATCACCATCCCTCCCATCTCATCACTAGCCAAATGCCAATCAACGCGTCAACCACACACGACCCCCATCTCCCGCCGTCACCCAACGCGCGTTCAAACAAAGCCCATGTCTACCTACTTCCTTACATATCCACATGTAATGTGCCTACGAACCTTGACGGCAATCTGAAACACGGGATCAGCAATTGCGCAAATCTCAAGAGTACCCGCTCACTAGCCAGCGATGCCTTTGTCCTCCAGCCTCATCCAGCTCCCCATTTCCTCCCTTGGCTGACCCTGGAAGATCGTCATCTTTCCACCCTGTGGCTGTGGCTGTCAGGGACCCACCGATCGCCTGCGAACGCGTAACCATGCCCGACTACCACGTATCTACCAAAATTCCCTGACAAAACGACTACACTACATTCCGCAGCCTGCCTCTTTACAAAGTGCCCATGTTTGCGTGGTTGGGGCTCAAAGTGGGTCCATTTGCCCTGAAAAGCGGAAGCAGCCCTGTCCTGGTTTCTCAACGGCTTCCGCATGAGTTGTGACGTATTCCGCCACTCTAAAACGAACTGTCGCCTACACCTACTTACTATGCTGGTAAGTCATTTTGGCCACCATACCCTGACATGCTCGGTCTTCATCTATAGTACACTAGTCAACTCTACACGCTCGTCGCCGAGGAAATTGTGTCAGTCCAGTCCCTTGGCGACCGACGTCGCATTATTCTAGTTTGAAGTTTGCAAACAGAAGCACTCGTCGTGCGCACATACACACACTAACTGACAAGGCCAACATGCACTTGCTCATATTTGCATTCTCCCATCTCCATCTGTCTCTTTTAATCTCTCGTGTCTCCTTTTACCTTGACTCCAAATTTCCTCGTTGACCTTGTGCTGGTCTGCTTGAACTTGTCATCTCACCTTCCGACTTCTAATCAACGTGCATTTCCCATTTTTTGTGACATTCTGCGAAACTAAGCGCAGCCAGCAGTACGACATGATGTATGGACCGTCTCTTCATTTCCCGCAGCGGTGTAGTTGTTTGCTCCCAAGGAAAGCGCAGCAGGGTCGCGCCTGCCCCTTCACTTCACCTTTCACTTTGACAGCCACAAACAAACAGACGAGAAGAAAAAAACTAGTCACATCATCTACGCTCCGCTCTGATGGGCTCGGCACGTATCGTGATAAACTCTCTGCCTAGACTCTTTCGCTCCTTCAATCGCATCCACGATGCCGTGTCGCACTTCCACTGAGCCTCTCTCCGGCACGAGCCAAGACGAACAAATCTACCTCTCTGCCCTGCTCAAGGCCAAGCTACAAGGCATACCATCCTTTCATTTCCCCTCTCTCACACTGCCTGATATAATTTGTCCAGCAGCCCGAGCGTCGCACATCCCTAATATACCACCTGACATCCAACTTCCCTTCTTCCTTCGCAACCGACATCTTATCGAGCAGTATGGTGGAAAGCCGGCGAAGGATGAGGTAAAGCAGAGTATGGACATAACCCGGGCCATCTGGTTTTGGAGACTGGATGAAGCACGACAGTTTGAGCGCTTCCACGATACCATGAGGTGGAATACTGCCATGTTCATTGCATTACTCACCCTTCATGATTTCCAGACCCGCTCCAGTCATTACAAGGCCATGCATACGAGTAAGGATGCGATCAAGAAAAGCCAGCACAATACAACTGTACCTCAGTTTAAAAAGATTCGCATCAACGTTGCAACCCACCGCTTCATAAAACAGTATCTTGCTGCTGTCCTAGAGCATCACAACACGCCTCTGCTCTTCGATGCTCGTGAAACCTTCGTCAAAACCTGGAAGAATAGCCCCTGGGACCTGTACACCGGCTTCCGTGGCGCACAGAAGAAGTTACTGAAGAACCTCATGAAGAAGCTGACCAAGGATTGGGAGAAAGAACTCAATAGTGCAGAGAGTAGTATGGGGAATGAAGAGTATCGCATCAGAGTAACCAAGTTCGCAGGGAGTCTGGTTCCGAGGAGAAGGGAACAGGATATCCCCACTGGCACACTACCAAGGCACGAAGAGAGTGGGTATGTGTACGGGACTGATAGTCCACCTTGTATACCCCGCGAGAGCCGAGAGGCTGGGAGGAATGAACTGCTCGACGCTCTTCGTGTCCCGTTTATACCACAAACTAAGGAGAGGACAAAAGACCAGAGGAACGAGACCTGTGAGCTCGAGGAGGGTGCGAACATGGTCACAGAATTGAGGAACGCAATTGAGGCATTACAGATGATGAGGCCGCAGGATATGCTGCCGGTACTGATGCATTTGTTTCCTGCCTCGGGGATGGGACAAGCGGGTACTTAGAGAGAACACGACTTATTAGGAGCTTATATTTCGGACGATGAATGAAGGATCACAGATTCAGCTCGGAAATTCAAAATCCGTACTAAGATAAGTTTCATTAAGGAGCTAGGGTCTGGACTCGACACATCAGGCCTTTTCCTATAGTATACTCTGCCCCGCACAGCATCTCAGCAACTAATCATCCGATACTGACAAGCTGAACATATCGTGGCCTAGCTTCCTACTAACTAGGTATAATCTTCAATCATGTTTGCTTCATTCATACGATCTGAGTTCTCCACACAGCACTGGTCTAAATCGTTTTAGTGCTGACACGCCCAGCCTTATGATACGACCTTTTGATATGGACATGGTATATTCTGCATCGTAAGCATCCTCGACAACCAGTATCCTGCACAGTAAGCAGTCTCCAACATCTACTACTGCCACCAGTACGTTAGAAACTACCAATCTAAAAACTCCCAAACTCCAAAACAACAACAAAGGCTTCGCATACAAGCAAGCGGTAGCGTACTAGAGAACGGTATACGGTGAGTAATCCGGGTACGCAGCAATCATCCTCGGCTGGGCTGCATGAGTAATCAAGACATCTTACTGCAAAAACTCAGTCTCAGAGAGTTCAAATTCTCCCATGTATAGGGCCGAATCGCGTCGGCCATGTATGTGTTGCTATCGGCGGAGCCCCACTCCAGTGACGTCATTATACACGGAGTTAAGGTACCACCCCAACGTCTTCCATTCCTGCTCCGCACACAGCGAGAAAAGCCCGCGCCTGGCACATGTCACAGCCTTATCGGTTCTTCGGCCGGGATCGTCCCCCACCAAAAACGGGGATCTAACTCGATATACCCATAGTAGAGTTGACTGCTGGTGCCGAGATCTACCGAGTCATTTTTTTTCATCCCTCCTTCATCGTGATGAGCATGTTTGTTTGGCGCACTCCACTGCCCAATTGCAGTATTCTTTTCGGTATCGAGATAAGCTTTTGGGGTAATGTAGAGAATGACACATGAGGGTGCTGAAAAAGAGGAGTAGTGGCTTACGAAGAGCGACCGAGAGATATATCTACCGGATTGATTAGTTGCGCGCACATGAAGCTGAACACCAGCCCTTGTTCTGTCTACGCCATGCATGCTCTTAGCGCGCGGCCGATGCATGAGAAAGTGGTCTAAGGGGCGTGCTTGTATCTCTTACGGTAAGATATCGCCAGGGCTCCGGATGCTGCAATGCTTGTTTACGTTCCGGAAGCAGGACCCTGGGCGCTGGTGATGTATTATTCATGAGCGACGTCATGCAGGCTAGGTAGATAGCAAGAGTTTTGCAAGACAGCTTAGTCTTTTCCAGCGTTTGCGGGCTTAAGGGAGGCTGACCGGGGGGCATGGTAACCGCTTTTGTGGTGGTAATGTTGATGCAAGAATGAGTGGACTCTTTTTGAAATTTAGTATAAGACTAAAGGTGTTCGCTGTTCTGGAGTCTCTCATTATCCAACCCAATTTTGTGTGTTACAAGATTTAACCTGAAGCTATTGAATAATCCGTTTCTTCTTCTTCTATTCTTTCTAGATTCTGAACTTTGATATACAGACGACCACCAAGATGCCGACATTCACAGTCTTCAAGGGCTCCAAGGAGGGCAAGATTATCAAGGGCCAAACCACCAAGCCCGATCTCCAAGATGACCAAGTCCTCATCAAGGTCACCGCCTCGGGCGTCTGCGGCACAGACGAGCACTACAAGCACGCCGACATGGCGCTCGGCCATGAGGGCGTCGGCGTAATCGAAGACATCGGCCCCAAAGTCAAGGTACTCAAAAAGGGTGACCGCGTCGGCTGGGGCTACGAGCACAACTCGTGTGGGCACTGCGAAAAGTGCCTCACAGGCCGCGAGACGTACTGCCCAGAGCGCGAAATGTACGGCATGGCGAACCTCGACCAAGGCAGCTTCGCCTCGCACGCCGTCTGGCGCGAAGCCTTCGTTTTCAAGGTCCCCGACGAGCTTACAGACGCCGAAGCCGCACCCCTCATGTGCGGCGGCACCACCGTCTTCAACGCCCTCCACGCCTACAACGTACGCCCGACCCAACGCGTCGGCGTCATGGGCATCGGCGGCCTCGGCCACCTGGCCATCCAGTACGCGTCGAAAATGGGCTGTGACGTCGTCGTCTTCTCGGGCTCCGACTCCAAGAAAGACGAAGCAATGCGCCTCGGCGCTAAGGAATTCATTGCCATGAAGGGTGCCACTGAGCTTTCCGTCTCGCGCAAAGTCGACGTCCTACTCGTTACCACATCTGTGACGCCCGACTGGAAACTTCTGATCCCAGTGCTGAACACAAATGCGACCATTTTCCCCTTGACGGTGTCGGATGGCGACTTTACGTTTCCCCAGATGCCGCTGATTGCGAATGGCATTACGGTTCAAGGTAGCGTGGTTGCGGCGCGCCAGGTGCATAGGGAGATGTTGGCGTTCTCGGCGCTGCATGGAATCAAGCCGATTAATATGGAGTTTCCGATGAGTGAGGAGGGGATTGAGGAGGCGATGAAGGTGTTGAGGGAGGGCGGCATGCGGTACAGGGGTGTGCTTGTGCCCCGGCAGTAGGAGAGGGATAGAGAGACATAATGATACTAAGAGTTACGAATTTCATTTGTTTTGTAGAATCGAAATGGAGATACTTGCATGGCATTACTGAGTGCGTAAATTTCCAGTGGATTTTCTTTTGAAATGAGTACGTGCTTCCACCCTCCCCCCACCCACATTGTATGTATGGTGAGTTTCGGGGTGCTATGCCTAGCTGGGTATGGTGTTGTATCGCCATAGTAGCATCACGTACTAACTTTCTTTGCTCAATCGAATCTCTTTAGACTTTACTACGAGTTTTTGTATATCTACAACCTCAGAAGATTATTGTATCATTAGTTGAACTGTTATCTAGATAAGGTGATAGCTGAGTTATCGATAGCAGTAGAGGGGCGTAGTCATCGCGAAAGCATGACTTGTCGCGACCGTGCTGCGCCTCTGCATGAGCACGATCAGCCACATCTAGTACCCCGCCTCATGCTTGTTCGAACATCCCCACAGAACTAAGAATATGATGCCGAACATCAGCTTCAGCCTGCAATAGGTACTTCGCCATTTTACCCTGTAGCTGCTCGAGGCTTGATAGCTGTTAGTTCTTTTTTCTTCACGCTCCTCCTAGATTGCATGCTAGAGCCAGCTGCCGCAATCTCGTCCTGTCAGGCTGCCGCACTGAGCCTCTCTCACCTCCTTCTGACCGCACCCGTTTGTCACGCATTCACATGAATTGATGCGTCTTCTCAAATACGACGAACATGGCGAGCTCGGCATCGTCAGCTTCGACGATCGCGCGGTGCCGCCCTATGCGATACTTTCACACACGTGGGGAACTGATGCGGAGGAGGTGACTTTCGCAGATGTTATAACAGGCGATGGTAAGGCAAAGCATGGCTACGAGAAGATACGTTTCTGTGGACAACAGGCACAGCGGGATAACTTAAGGTACTTCTGGGTCGACACGTGTTGCATCGATAAGACAGATAAGGCTGAGCTCTCCCATGCTATCCGCTCTATGTTTCGCTGGTACCAGAACACGTCAAAATGCTATGTGTATCTACCAGATGTATCTACAGGGGGATGGAAGTTTGGTGATGTGTCTACTGAGTCTACTTGGGAACCTGCTTTTAGGTTAAGCCGATGGTTTACGCGTGGTTGGACACTTCAGGAGCTTCTTGCTCCAAGCATAGTCGAGTTCTTCTCTCAAGAGGGGATGTTACTTGGTGACAGCATGTCGCTAAAGACGTTGATTAATAAAATCACTGGCATTCCATGCGAAGTATTTGACGGAGCTGCTCTTTCCCAGTTCACCATCGACGAGCGGCTGCGCTGGAAAGGCAACAGAGAGACTAAGCTCGAAGAAGATGCATGGTACTCTTTGTCGGGCATCCTTGATGTCGAGATAGCCCCAGCGTACAGTGAAGGGGCGGCAAGCGCATTCAAGCGTTTAATGGACGAGGTCCATAAAGTACAGAGATGCATCCAAGACATACGCCTTACGGACCCCCGTGACGACAAGAAGCGCATCGAGGACACCAAAGGCGGACTACTAGCAGACTCCTATCGCTGGGTTCTTGGCAACGCCATTTTCCAGCAATGGCAACAGGACTTCCACGGCGGACTGCTGTGGGTAAAAGGTGATCCTGGCAAGGGAAAGACGATGCTACTCTGTGGCATCATCGACGAGCTGCATAGCTCACTGTCTAAGCCATCACTCCTAGCATACTTTTTCTGTCAAGCAACCGACTCGCGTATTAATAGCGCTACAGCAGTACTACGGGGGCTGTTATACATGCTTGTAAAGCAGCAACCGTCACTCGTATCGCATATCCGCAAGAAGCACGATGACGCTGGAAAAGCCTTGTTTGAGGATATGAACGCTTGGGTAGCGTTGACAGAGGTCTTTACGGACGTACTACGAGACCCAGGATTGCGCACCACCTACCTAGTCATTGACGCATTAGACGAGTGCGTTACTGACTTACCAAAGCTGCTTGACTTTATTGCAAAGCAGTCGTCTACGTCTACGTCTATGTCTTCTTCCTGCAACAAGTGGATAGTGTCCAGTCGTAACTGGCCAGACATAGAAGAACAACTGGGGAAGGCAGAGCGCAACGTACCGCTAAGTCTTGAGCTAAATGCTGATTCTGTATCCGCAGCTGTTGGCATCTTTATCCAGCACAAAGTGTTTCAACTAGCACAACAGAAGAAATACGACGAACAGACTCAAGACGTAGTGCTCAAGCGCTTGATATCAAATGCAAACGACACCTTCTTATGGGTAGCGCTCGTTTGTCAAGACCTTCAAACGACTGCGAGACGGAACGTACTTAAGAAGTTAGGTTCGTTCCCACCGGGGCTAGACGCACTGTATAAACGGATGATGCAGCAGATTAGCGTGTCAGACGATGCCGCACTTTGTAAGCAGGTGCTGGCTTTAATTGGACTTGTGTATCGGCCAATCACGCTGCAGGAACTAGTGGTACTTGCTGAACAGCTCGAAGGTATAGACGATGAACAAGAGCTGCGGGAGATTATCAGCCTCTGTGGATCATTCCTTACTTTGCGACAAGACGTAGTCTATTTTGTGCATCAGTCTGCCAAAGATTTTCTCTTTGTAGAAGCGTTTGATGAAATCTTTCCTGATGGGACTGAAGCCGCTCACAGGATCATTGTTTTAAGGTCGCTTGCCATCCTGTCCAGGACGTTACAGAGAGACATGTATAACCTTGAAGCACTGGGGGCTCCTATCGAGAATGCCGATCCGCCTGATTACAATCCACTAGCTGCATCACACTACCCGTGCGTCTACTGGGTTGATCATCTGTACGAATCGAAACCTAAGTTTCATGGAAAAAGCGTCAGCGACATGCAAGTTGTAAGCGTAGTTGATAGGTTCATAAGAGAGAAGTATCTCTATTGGCTAGAAGGGCTTAGTTTGTGCAGGAGTGTAGGAAAAGGTGTATTTTCGATGGCAAGGTTATATTCTCTGGTCCAGGTATGGCATGCAAAGACAACATACTAGTGTAATGTACTTGACGTAGATGCTGACTCTGCTAGGAGATGAAGGGTACAGATGAGCTGACGGAGCTTATCTACGACGCACGCCGATTCATTATGTACCACAAAGGGGCAATTGAGAGCTATCCTTTACAAACATACTCGTCTGCGCTGTTATTCAGTCCGACAGGGAGCATAATCAGAAACATCTTCCGTTACGAGGAGCCAAAGGGAGTGACCATTGAGCCAGTAATAAGTACTGTGTGGAGTGCGTGCCTGCAGACGCTCGAGGGTCATAGCGATATTGTCACCTCTATAGCCTTTTCGCACGACTCTAAGCTAGCATCAGCGTCGAGCGACAAAACCGTCAGAATCTGGGACGTGAGCACCGGCGCGTGTCTGCAGACTTTTGCAGGCCACATCGATATTGTCAATTCTATAACTTTTTCGCACGACTCAACCAAACTAGTATCAGCATCATCCGACATCACTGTAAAGGTCTGGGACATAAGCAGCGGTACATTTTCAGAGATTTCCACAGGCCATAGTAGGTGTATCACCTCTATAGCCCTCTCACACGACTCAAGTCAGCTAGTGTCGGGGTCAGAGGACTGCACTGTCAAGATATTAGACATGAGCACTAGTGCATGCCTACATAGTTTTGCAGGCCATAGTGGTGCTGTTATGTGTGTAGCCTTCTCACACAACTCAACTAAGCTAGCTTCAGCATCAGCCGACAAGACAATTAAGCTTTGGGATACAAGCAGCGGCATGTGCCTACAGACGCTCACAGGCCATGATGCTTGTGTAAAATCTATAGTCTTCTCGCATGACTCGATGAAGCTAGCATCGGCATCGAACGATAAGAACATCAAGCTATGGGATGTAGGCAGCGGCATGTGCCTACAGACGCTCATAGGTCACAGCAAACACGTTAGGTCCGTGGCCTTCTCGCGTGACTCGACTAAGTTGGCGTCGGCATCTTACGACCTCACTGTCAGGCTGTGGGATGCGAACAGTGGTGTCTGTCTGCAGACGTTTAAAGGTCATAGGTTCTATGTTACGTCAGTAGTCTTTTCGCATGATACGAGTCAGCTGGCGTCAGCATCAAACGACAAGACTATCAAGCTATGGGACGTTAGTAGCAGCACATGTATACAGACGTTTACGGGCCACAGCCGCTCTATCAGCTCTATATCCTTCGTACACGACGCGACTAGGCTAGTATCAGCATCGCGAGATAACACTGTTAAGCTCTGGGATGCGAGCTCCGGGGTGTGTCTGCAGACGTTTGAAGGGCACAACGGTTGTGTTACCTCTATCGCCTTCTCACACAACTTAGCAGAGCTAGCGTCAGCGTCGGATGACGATACTATCAAGATGTGGGACGTAAACAGTGGTACGTGCCTACAGACACTCACGGGTCATAGTAGTAGTGTCAGATCTGTAGCCTTCCCACACGATTCGACTAAACTAGTAGCATCAGCGTCAAGCGATAAGACTGCTAAGCTGTGGGATACGATCACTGGCGCTTGCTTACAGACGTTTACCGGCCACAAACGTCATGTCAATTTTGTGGGTTTCTTAAACGACTCAACGAAGCTGGGGTCGGTGTCACACGACATGACCTTCAAGCTCTGGGATGTGAGAAGCGGCGCGTGTCTGCAAACGCTCCACGCCGGTGCGCTCAGTTATGAACTAGCCTACAACGCCACCAACTCATATCTCTATACCAAGACCGGTCCTATTGTCCTTCATGGCGCGATTAGTTCTAGGTTCCCAGCTACGACGGAACCTGGGCGCTCCTTATCTCTACGCACAAGCGTTAGCTCAGATAACATATGGATTCAGCATGATGGCAAGAATATCCTGTGGATACCATCAGAGTATCGACCGTCAAGTTCTGCGAATTGCGGGACCAGGGTTGGCATGGGCACTGGGCCTGGCAGGATATGGTTCTGTAGTGTTGACTTTTGACACACTAGCACTCTCTGATTCGAGACAACGAAAAAAGGATTCACCTCTTCGTTCATGTTTTCGCTTTGCTACTACGTGTCTACTTCAGCCGTTTTAGCTCGCTGCGTTAGGCATTGGGTATTCGCAAGGTTATGGTTGTTTTCGTATCGTGCCAACTACAAAAATGGGGATTAAAATTCAAGCTTTCCTTGATGGTTTCTTGCTTAACACAGCAGAGCATCTTCAGACAATACGGTTAGCGTTGGCATTAGTGGACACATTGCAGCAGACGGTCTAAAAGACTGGTGGCATGGGCCACAGCTGTTCTCAGAGTTTGTTATGTGCAAGATATAGCGCCAAGGCTGTTACAATACATCATGGGATCATCTGAGTACGTTAATACATACATACTACATGCTGCTGCACGCCCAGCCAGGCTACTAGTAGTGTACCCCAAAATTCTGGAACGCTTTCCGCGATATTCGCATCTGATCAGCGAAACTGCCGGACTGCATCCTGATGAGCTGAAAACTGCCATTGAAAGGATTTTTGTGATCCTCGACGCTCAGGCCTCGCTTTCAATGCACTGAAGAAGGGGACACCTGGCGGACAAATCATGCGAGACTCCAAACTAGGTAGTACTTTATATAGTCAGCAGCACTAATCACTCGCGCCTTTCTAGTTTTTTTTTGCTTGTGAATACTACTTTGGTATATCGCGAAGAATATGCGCTTGAACAATGGAGATAATTATAATATCGTGTTGGTGTTACAAAGCTGTAAAGTTACTGACTTGCCGTCGTGTAACCGATTTTGGTTTGGTGGTGGCCCGTGTAGAGTCTCGCATTTCTTGTCCACCAGGTGAAATACTACTACCGTCAGCGCTAGTGGTGCGTCCGTACACGCCGAACACCAAACGCGCGTCAGCACTTTGGCTTTGACATACTGTAACTCAGCAACCATGGCTCTTATTGACGATGGGATCGCAGATTTAGAATCGCAAGAGCCAAGGAGAGAGAATGGTAATAGCTAAATTCACGAGAAAATGGGCTGTTAATCGAGTAACTTTATCGCGACTATGGAGGCGCGTGACGGTGTCTAGACACGTCTGGGAATGCGCACTGGTTGGCATTTGTCGCATATTAGTAGCAGGGTAAGTACGGAGATGCCTTGTTGCTCTACGAGCGGACGTTCACGGGCTATCAGGCTCTTAGATACCATGGCTTACGTAAAGAACAATACTTGTATATCATCAAAGTTTGTCTGACCCAATCCTCGCTCAATCTCTTTCCCGCTATCTCTCTACGCGATGTGATGTTGTAGCCAGGCTATCTGGACCATGTACCAATTGCTCACTTGATGGTGCTGCATGCCAGTTGGCTGAGCATAGGCAAATTCTCCGATTTTGCTGTTCTTGAAGCTGATACATAAGCACTTGTCTAGACAGTGACTAGACGTGTACAAGAGAGCTAGACGAGTCCGGTCGGTAGCGTCCAAACAGGTAAATGCGGCTAGTCACTCTTTCACAGCCACAGCACACTCTGTACCACCATCATTTAGACATCTCCGTCAGCAAGATGGAGTATCAATTATGGCCAACCCACACGTCGACGCTGGCTCTGTCAACAGCGCTATACCTGGCGGCCCCTCGTTGACCGTCCAGATGCACACTCCAGTTCCATCCCTCACTTCCGAAGTGGGTAATTGGAGTATATACTCGCCAAATTCGCCTAATGTTTTTGACTTTTCTACGCCAGCTGCCATAGGCGGTGAGAATCCGACTATTGCAGGATCCGAAACAGTTTCTACCTTCGACAATATCTTTGGACTAGATTTGGTTAGTAGCCATGACATGGTAACTGTCGACCCCGTCCTGGCGTGCGATCCTCTTTCATCAGCATCGGAGACGCAAGGGAAAAGCACCGAAGGAAAAGATTGTGACCGTACACCCCTGTGTTCCCCACCTTTACCTTGGATACGGCGCTGGTACACCGCAGACCTAGCCGCTGATCATACTGTCAGAATTTCCGAAGCAAAAGCCTTGTCGATACCCTCGAACACTCTCACCGAGTGTATCCTGGAACATTATATGCAGACATGGAGAGACCCACATACTAGAGGGGCTTCATCTGATAGAATGTACTCGATATAGTCTTGACTAATGCCACAGATCAAGATGCGAGAACCGAATGCAATAGTAGAACCTGGGTACCCTATGAGGCGCTATATGCTGAGGGGAATTACGTCAGTGGCAGCTCGGGTAGTACTATACACGTGACTAGTGGGGAAAATAGTATTACAAATCGCTGGGTTTTGTCAGATTTATTTTACTTTAATAAGCTCTTGTAAGTAGTGGAAAGCCTTAAATTCAATTAACCGCCCCCTGTCGAACTTTAATCAAACCTTGTTCTTCAATCATTGAATCGTCCAAAGTCGCAAGCATCCATCGCAACTACCGAAAGTAGTAAGCAAATGACAATGGCTTCCGAAGCTGCTGCTGTCCATTCACCTTCACTTGAAGTTCCTGCCTCAAACAAGGTTGTCACTGTTCGCATAATCGACACGGGGAACAGGGCAACCGTACCTACGGGTTATTTTATGGAACCTCATATTGAGGGTCACGAAATCATGAAATCTCCTCAGTTTTCATTTCTTGTTGAGCATTCGTCGGGCAAAAAAATCCTTTTCGACTTGGCCACTCGCAAAGACCCTGAGAACTTTTCCCCTGTTATACGTCAATCAATGGCTGCAGGCGGTCTAGCATTCGAAGGCGACAAGGATGTCGTAGACATCCTCGAGGAGAACGGCATCAAGAGGGAAGAGATTGAAGAAGTCGTTTGGAGGTAAATATTTTCTCCGATAACTATGCAAGTACTGGTGCTAATAGAACTGGTAGTCACTGGCACCTTGACCACGTAGGAGACATGTCACGATTTCCATCCAGCACGAAACTTGTCGTCGGACCCGGATTTACCAATGCTTTAGTCCCTGGATATCCTGCCAACGAGTATAGCCCAATATTGGAAAGTGACTACAAGTAAGACATCCACCGCTGCGCATACTTTGCTAGACCGGAAATACTGAGAGGGGTGTAATAGAGACCGACCTTTGATTGAACTAGATTTCAAAGGCAAGAACGCATTAAAATTTGGCAGTTTTGATGCCCTCGATTGGTTCGGTGATGGGAGTTTTTACATTCTGGATGCTCCAGGGGTAAGTTGAAATGCAATTCATGATCTCTTCGCTTGCTTTCTTCATCACAGGCATGTGGAGCTAATGTAAACAAAAGCACACTGTGGGGCATATCTGCGCACTGGCGCGCACTACCCCGGACACTTTCATCTTCATGGGCGGCGATACCTGCCACCATTGTGGTGAGTTCCGACCAAGCAGATACGTTCCTCTCCCTGAGGTAGTCACGCCTTCTCCTTACTCCACGCCGCCATTTGCCCCCGGAAGTGAATGCCCGGGAGCGCTCATCATGAACATTCATCCGCACAAGTCATCAACAAAACCCTTTTACACCCAGAAGGCAAAAGAGGACCTGATGCAAGATTATCCAAAACTGTTGGAATCAGCAGACAAAATGTCTTCATTCGACGGAGATGAGCATGTCCTGGTCTTAATTGCACACGATGCTACAGTGCTGGACACGCTCGAATTTTTCCCCAAGCATGCTAATAACTGGAAAGAACATGGATGGAAAAGTGCTGTTCGTTGGACGTTCCTCCAGGACTTCAAGCTGTGAAGGGCAAACACCGTTCCCCTCTGGTTTCAAGTAGCTTCGAAAGTGTAATTCTGAAAGTCTGCAAGCGTCCTACTAGCTTGTTCAAGATATCAGATGGCTATGCGCATTAGTAGTAAAATAACCATGATCTATCCCTTCCCTTAGAGTGAAATGCTTTCCGAGTGATGAGCTCTATGATATCATGTGGCTGGAAGCATTGATAGAAAAGCCCGAGGCATGCTTGATCGGTCCCATCAAACTGGGAGCTAGTCATGGTATCGGCCATCAGGTGAGTCACGTCCTGCTCTGAATATTCTGAAGTATTTTCATGATTACTAAATCAATCACAGCTCGGTTCTCTCGGCGTTGGTCACGGCGAAACTAGCTGCATTCTTTTACCCGCTGTGTAGAAATGCAATGCCTTGCATGGTTCCAATTGTGACAGACAAGAAATGCTCAAAGTGTTCTTACTCTCTATACATGAGGCAGAAGAAATTTTACAAGAACAATCGCTTGATCCTTCTACAGTCGACCTAGGCGATATATTGGCATCTTCTGTGCGGCACATGGGGCTACCACGATCACTGAGAGAGGTTGGCATTCACCCGGCTCAGTTTGACCTACTGGCAGAGCATAGCTTGCTAGACGAATTTTGCAAGACCAATCCTGTACCCTTGCATTCAAAAGATCAGGTTCTAGAGATATTACAAATGGTAGCTGTCTAGAATGATGGGTATTACTTGCAAGGCGTTTCACGGGCAAGCGACAAAGTCATTCTCCACTCCTGATTACCTTGTATGTTTGAGAACTTTAGACCCTAAATAATATTTTTAACCTATTTTCTTGTTAGCAAACGCATAGAGGGTTTCTCTAAACATAACACACTAATGTCCATGCCTGCGTAGCGGGACACCCTGTGTAGCAGGACACTTTTCCATCCGGACCTTTGGCATCAGCCCAGCCCAACTGCACAAAATCAGGCTCGAAGCGCTTAGTTTCTGTAGCTGTTGTTCTAGTAGTACGACAGCAACCGATCAGGATGAGCGTGGTGTTGCCGAAGGCGTTCATCAACTCTCTAGTAGCTCCCCCCTGTTCATTCTCCACAGCACATCTCTGCGAAGTGTACGGAGAGACAAAAAGGTGGTCTAGATCTCAAGGATCAAGATCGCATACTCTAAAGCTTGACCTAAGGTGAGGAATGTGTATTCCAGCAGTTACGCCGCGCGCACAGCAAGATCATCAAAATTCAGCTGACAGGGCATAGAGCTATAGTTGCTCTTGGCATGCAGTAGCGTGCTCAGATATCTTTGGAGCTGTGGCGTAGACGGCTGGTTTCTAGAAGCATCTAATTACCACCAGCCACGTGTGCAGGTATCTTAGCCCACCTTGTGCTGCTTGAAATACTCAAAGTTTGTTTAACATGCAATTAGATAACTTGAAGACAGACGAAGCTTAGACATAAACTAAACCCAAGAACTAAGTTAATGTAAATCCCATCTAGTACGCCTCAATCGACATCAATTTGTTCCTCACGGGTTCCCAACGCGATTGCTCATACTACTCGCACATTAGCCTGTTCTCTCACGACGCAGTTCTTCGACACCAGCCCAATCCCAATCCGCTCATACTCGCCCTCTACACTAGTTGGTCTAGTAACAAGGATGTAGTAGGTCTCGGTGTCTAGCGTGCTCCCTACAACAACACAGTGTTCCTCAAGAAGGTTCTTTCCGTCCTCGACATCATAACGGATCCATCCTCTCTTTGTCTTAGAGAGGTCAAAAACGGCATAACGGTTCCCATCCGATTGCATCGTGCAGTTCTGGAACTTTCCTACATCGGCGACCAATGCATGTCCACAATCACAATCCTGATCAAACCGAAGGCTTGTAAGCAGTTGTATATCGCCGTAAGGTATCTCCTTTTCGTCCAGGAAGCAAATGACTCCGTCGTAAGCCATCCATGACCACGATGGTACATAGCCCTCGTACTCGATCTTCTCTAGCTTGGCATCGGACGCATGCCAAAGGAGGTTCCGATGTAGGTACTTCTCAAAAACACCATATCTACCCTCGCACGGTATTGCTTGAGCAATACGATCCTGCAATCCAGACATTGCGACACATTTATCTGTTTTATATGAGAGCTTACGCTCTGAGTAGTCTTTAATAAGAAAGTAAAGGAAATCCATAGTACGTTCGCGACCTGAATTAAGGAGCCGGCTTGGAAACCTAGGGTCGAGCGTGAAGTACTTCCTCCTGAATGGGCTAGAGAGGAGAGATAATTAGGACGGTACGAGCTGATATATCGCAAGGCACTTACAATTCTAGCTTTATGAGGTTCTCGCAATAAACTCCCGTACCACATTCAAAGTAAGTATGTTTGGCGGAGAAATGGATCGTTCGCCGTGCTAGCACACCTTCCTGCATCACCCATGCTCTCTTGTTGAGCTCCGCATCCCTTACATCCGTGTCGAAATCATCAATATCTGTACTGACATAAAACTGCTTGCCCGCAGCATTATGGACATGGACGGACTCAGTAGTCATGATTCGCTTAAGAAAGCCTGTCTTACAGTCGGTAGCCGAAGTTGCAGCAAGAACGCAATATGCTTCCGAAAAGACAGTTTCCATTCGACGAGATTCGCTTATCCAATCTTTGCCGTTATCCCCAGATTGGATGATACAGAGAGAATCGATCCACAGATACGGAATGCGCAGCTGGCGAGTCGCGTTAACAGCATCCTGGAAAGTCTTTGGAAGACTAGATAGATTGAATCCTCTTAGTCGTTGATTGATGTTGTCCTGGGATGTACAGAACATCTTTTTCTCTTCGTCTTCGAGCTTGCCCCATCGATGCGATAAGGCGACGTATTTCCTGTCATTGACTTGCGAGCCAGGAACGAGGCGCACGACACTTGAATCAGTGCTTGGGTCGTCTTTGGCGCCGACATAGAGAAGTCGTGTTGGCAACGGGATATCACCTTCGAATTGGTGCGTGTTGCAATCGTGGTTGTTGTTGCACCAACTAAGCCATGCGCGAAGCAGCCCAAAATCCACAGAGCCTTGAGCCGCCGGCCGAATGGGCAGACCAAGTGGGAACCTCGGATCTTGATTCAGGTCTGCTAGATTAAACACATGCGTAAGCACTGTTCTTAGCTTATGGATGAGGACTTAAGGACGGACCTGTATTACAACAGAGCCGCAGAAGCCGGGCGCCTGTTACGCTTTCTTGTAGTACTGCGCCTCGTCGCACTATCCTAACAACTGCTTTATCTTCGCTGCGCCCGTCACGACACGTTTGACGACGCAGTAGTGTACAGACCTGACAGTCTTGCATAGTAGCACGTATTTCAAGCTGTTGAGGAATTTGTTCCGGGTTGTTCAAAAGTGTACTGCAGCGGTCGCAACACTGGATAGAGGGGGGTGATATACGCGATAGCGTGTTCATGTATGACTTGGCGAATGAATTACGCCTAGAAATGTTCCAGTCGTTGTACTAAATTGAGATTAACAGCGACAAAAAGGATATAGGAACAGCTTGCAAGCCGACTTACATCCTACACCACCAGACACACTAAGGTTAGCAGCCGCCTCGCGCATCCACGTTCGTAGATCGACTTACATACTACAGCACCAGACACACTAAGGTTAGCAGCTGCCTTGCGCATCCACGTTCATATGTCAACTTACATCCTATACCACCAGACACATTAAGGTTAGCAGTCACCTCGCGTATCTACGTTCGTAGATCAACTTACTCGCTACAGCACCAGATGTAATTAAGGTTAGAAGCCGCCTCGCGCATCCACGTTCGTAGGTTAACTTACATCCTATACCACCAGACACATTAAGGTTAGCAGCCACCTCGCGCATCTACGTTTATAGGTTAACTTACAAACTACAGCACCAGACATACTAAGATTAGAAGCCGCCTTACGTATCCACATTTATATGCCAACTTACAACCTATAGCACCAGATATACTAAGGTTAGCAGCCGCCTCGCGCATCTACGTTTATAGGTTAACTTACATGCTATAGCACCAAACACACTAAGGTTAGTAGCCGCCTTACGCATCTAGGTCCATAGGTTAACTTACATCCTATAGTACCAGACATACTATAGTTAGTAGCTATTTCGCGCATCTACGTTTATAGGTTAACTTACAACCTATAGCACCAGACACACTAAGATTAGCAGCCACCTTACGCATCTACGTCCATAGGTTAACTTACTCGCTATAGCACCAGATACACTATAGTTAGCAGCCGCCTCACGCATCTACGTCTACAAGCTAACTTACACCCTATAGCACCAGACACACTATAGTTAGCAGCCGCCTCACGCATCTACGTTTACATGTTAACTTACTGGCTACAGCACCAGACACATTAAGGTTAGAAGCCGCCTGGCGCATCTACCTCCGCAGGTTAACTTACAAGCTACAGCACCAGACACATTAAGGTTAGAAGCCGCCCCGCGCACCCACGTTCGTAGGTCAACTTACTCGCTATAGCAACAGATACACCAAGGTTAGTAGCCACCTCACGCATCCACGTTCGCAGGTCAACTTACATCCTATACCACCAGACACACTAAGGTTAGCAGCCGCCTAACGCATCCACGTTTACAGGCCAACTTACATCCTACACCACCAGACACACCAAGGTTAGCAGCTGCCTCGCGCATCCATGTTCGCAGGTCGACTTACTCGCTATACGTAGCACCAGACACACTAAGGTTAGAAGCCGCCTCGCGCATCCACGTTCGCAGTTTAACTTACATACTATAGTACCAGACACACTAAGGTTAGCAGCCGCCTTACGCATCCACGTTTACAGGTCAACTTACATCCTATAGCACCAGACACACTAAGGTTAGCAGCCGCCTCGCGCATCCACGTTCACAGGTCGACTTACTCGCTACAGCCAGCACCAGACACACTAAGGTTAGCAGCCGCCTTTCGCATCCACGTTCGTAGGTTAACTTACAAGCTACAGCACCAGACACATTAAGGTTAGAAGCCGCCCCGCGCACCCACGTTCGTAGGTCGACCTACTCGCTATAGCAACAGATACACCAAGGTTAGTAGCCACCTCACGCATCTACGTCTACAGGTCAACTTACATACTATAGCACCAGACACACCTAAGGTTAGCAGCCGCCTCACGCATCCACGTCTACAGATCAACTTACATTCTACACCACCAGACACACTAAAGTTAGCAGCTGCCTCGCGCATCCACGTTCGCAGGTCGACTTACTCGCTATACGTAGCACCAGACACACTAAGGTTAGAAGCCGCC